GCACCTGCAGACTGGGGTCTGGGTGGGTGCAACTGTGCGGCAGCGGGACAAACCCTGGCTGATTCACAGAAGATTAGAGAGAGATTAGCGATCCCTGTCAGCTCCTGGGGAGGGGACACATGAACGTGTCACCCAGGGCTTGCTCTGTCTGGGGCTGGTGATGTGGCACCTGTGTGCATGGGGACTGGGGGCCACAAGAGAGGCCACCCAGTGTGGGCAATTGAGCCCAAGGAGACACCTGGTGGCCACACGGAGATTTGCAGCCTCCCACCAGGGACAGGAGAAGGAAGGAGAGGGTGTCTAAGAAGCCCCCAGGAATCCACAAGAACATCTCCCCTCTCCCACCTTGGAGTAGCACTCAGAGCTACCCCAGGCCTCAGCACGTAGGACCCAGCGTGATGAGAGCGGGTTCTCCCAGATTATTTCCAACCCCGTAGTTGGTGGGGAGAGCTGACCTGGTGGTACTGGACAGAGGGAGGATGGCGGAACCCAGGAGGGTCCACTCCATCATTGCCGGCGAACAATGAGCCGTCGCCACCCTCATTAAAGCTGTCATCATGGCAAATGCGTTGTGGGCTGAGAATGAATGACGGGCAGCAGGAAGGCACCTTGGGGCCAGCAGCCAGGGGATTGCTCCTCCAAAGTCCCCTGCTGGGAGCTCATGTCAGCACTCTCCTACAGTCAGTTTCAGGGGGTCCTGAGGCTTCTGGAGTGGGCGGGGCCAAGACTGGAGCTGGCAGCCACCCAGGGCCCTGGGTGGGGGATCTGATTGGAGAAAGGAGGGTGGACAGTCAACTGCCAGGCCATGGGCTGGGTCACAGGCAGAGCTGGAACTAGAGGGAAGCAGGTAGCTCCTAGCACAAAGTGCTAGGGCCTTGGGCACACTGGTGTGGGGCTAACGGGCCTTCGAAGGCAGACGCAGGTGGGTGACCCAAGGGCGGGTCTGAGGCTCGCCTGCAGATGAAGAGGTGCAATAGGGCACTGGGAGAACCCCCTGGCTATTGGTTGGAGTGACTTCAGGGGTGAGTGGCTGGTGGGTCCTGGGCTTCAACAGGACAGACCCAGGTCCCTCCCCGTCACCAATGGCTCTGGCCTGGTCCCCACCCAGTTACCCCTGGACACCAGTGTCCGCTCCCTCTGGGGCTGACCTATCTGTGGCCACCCATGGTCAAGGTGTGACTCTCAGTCTCCTCCTGGCTCCAGCTGCCATGATGGCCCTGGGCAGGTCCTTCAGGGAACATGGTGTGACCCCGAGGGAAGAAGAGCTGGGTGGGGAGGAGGTGGGGAGCCCAGGCAGGCAGCGGCAGGGAGGGAGGACAGGCCACTGACAGGAGAACAAATGCTTGTAATTTTATAACCAATCTCGGCGTGTCCGTGGGGGGCCGTTTGCGCCTCCACTCAGGACCAATCAGCCTGACAGAGCTATGAGTCTGCCTGAGTGAATGTGAGCACCCACCCCCCGCCACTTACCGCAATCTCATCACCACCCGGGCCATGAGCAGCCAGTGCTGAGGGGTGCTGGGCAGGGGGACCCCACCCTAGCTGGGGCAGAGTCTGGCTGCAGTCAGGGCCTGATGGAGGTGGGCAGGGGGCAGCACCTCTGAATCACTGGGAAGCACATCTAAGAGCCGCTCAGGGGAGAGGGGTGTGAGTTGGCAGAGCCAGAATTCCTGCCCTCAAGGGGCTTGTAGTCTGCCCAGGGCATCAGAGAGACTGAAGGAGGGCAGGCCCCAGGGAGGCAGCCAGTGGGCAAGGAGACAGCCGTGGAGGAGCAGGACAGGGTGAGAAGGGCAGAGTGCAGAGCCACGCTGGCATGTGGTGAGGGGGATCTGGGCAGACTAGGGAGGGCATGGCTGGCGGGGAAACGCCAACCCACAGGAGGGGAACAGCCAGTGGTGGATATTGAAGGGCGGCCTTGCTGGGGATCTGGCTCTGGGGATGGCTATGTGCCCATTAGTCTCTCTAATTGTCAAAAATCTAATTTAGTGTCTGCAGCCCTGGCCGGCCTTGGGTTAAATGGAGGGAGGCAGGCCTGGCCATAAATCCGCCCTCCCAGCCCCGGCTGGCACTAATTCTGCAGTTAAGTGAGGGGGTGAGGAGGGCAGCAAGATGGGACTTGGGGGAGGGGTGGCCCCGGAGAGAAGGCATCCCTGGTGACCTTGCATGCCAAGGCAGTCTCAGGAAGACAACCTGAACCGTGAGGCTATGGGCAGTGGGAGCCTCTCTCCAGTCTGGGTGGGGCTGCCAAACTATCAACCCACCTCCACCCAGGCCCACCTGGCGTAAGGTGGGTGGCAACACGTACTGTCCACAATGCGCTTGTGCTGGGGAAGGGGTGTAGAGACCCAGATCACGTGACCAAGCAACAGGTCACCTTCTTCTGAAGAGGCTGTGATGGGATCAGAGGGGCTTTCCTTTGCTGGAGGGGAAGGGGTTCACTGAGGTGTGTCCTGTGCCTGGGGACAGTCCTTAAGGGCCTCCTCCATGGTCTGAGGAGGTTGGGTGGGGGCTCTCCAGTCTGAATGAGGTAATGACCTCACTCCCCTCAGAGCCACTAATTGAAAGCAAGGGGGTGGCAGGCACTGTGGGAGGGGCCGGGGGCCTGAGCCTTCTGAGGCCCCGCTTCCACAGGGGTAGGAAAACAATTTCTCTGTGGCTTCGGCTGCATCTCACCAGGCACCCACCCTGCCTCTCCTGCTGCTAACGAAGTGCCTTTAATTAGCAGCCTAATAAAATGCTCTTAATTGGCAACAGCCAATCAGAAAGAGAAGTCACCCTCCCCTCAGTCATTGCTGACAGCGGCCCCCCGCTATAGGTTTGGAGTTGGGGGAGGAGCAGATGCCAGGTGCAGCCTGGTGTTAAAAAATGGGGGCTCCTGGGACACATCTTCCCAGGCTTGTCCTGGACTCACCCTCCCCAGGAACAGAGATCCAATACTGGGTTTGAACGTCAAGTCCAGAAACACTCAGGGAAGCCTCTGCTCAATTCTGTGCTCAGAGACTGAGTGGGTGCTGGCGGCCTTGTGGTGGGTGGGGTTTGTAGTCCCCTACCTCCCTGGCAGGCTGCTGCCAATGAAGGAGATGCCAGCTGTCCCAGCACTGCTTGGCTCCTCTTCTGCCAAACGCTGGTGTGCCCCATGCTCTGTCATCCTTCCAGCTCTACTTGGGACAGCTCTGCTCTGGGCACTTGATGTCACCTTGGAAACATTACTCCTGAAAGCCCACAGGGTTGACGGGGCGGTCAGTCTCAACTAGGGTCTTGTGGTGACTAGAGGGAAGGGAAGGAGCTGGAGGGCAGAGCCCTGTTGGCAACCTCATGTTCATGCTGGTCTCTCCACGAGGTCTGGTGCCACGAGGAAAGGGGAAAGCTCACCTGTCCATAGGCTGACCAAGCGGGATGCAGGGCAAGTCTCACTCTTCTCACTCACAGAGGACAATTTGAATTCTGGGCTCAGACTGAGCTATGGCGAGCTACGGTGATGAATGCAGAAGATACCACTCGGGCTTCCACTCCCTCCAGGATGGAGTGGGACTTGGCTGCGTGACAGTGGCCTCTGTCACTCCCCTCTTCTTCAGTTCTGCACTTCATCCGCCCTGATTTCCTTCTAAGCTGGTGTGTTCAGGCCAGGTCATCTTGATTTCTATGTTGAAAAACTTACTTTCTGATGTTGGGGCATAGAGACATGACACTTAAGGAAATTCACTTTAATCTTATATTTGTCATTTACGTTACTTTTTTTTTTCTGAACAGTTAAAAAAAAAACAAGTCAAACCAAACCAAAGCACACTCTATGACCATGATCCTAGCTGTGAACATATTGGCACATTGACTACACATCACCGTGACAAAATCACCAATGTCAAAGCAACCTAGAGAACAAAGAGCAGCATCAACCTGGAGCCCCCGTTTGTGTCCACGGCACATTCCCAGGCCAGCCTGCGTTGGGCGTCAGGGGTCACTGACTTGGCAAAGTGTTGGTGTTCTTGGTGTCCAGAGGTCTAAGCTAGTTGGTCTTTTCCTTCAGCTTCCAGCAGCGGGAAGAGTTAGGAGGGGAAAAGGATGGTTTAAAATAGTATTTATCACACTGATGATATCACACCCACACACGCACACTCATTTACCCAAACACACCAACCAGAGCTGAGAGAGCAGCTGGGTTGGCTGGAAAGCACGCCATCAGTACCCATCTTCCAACAGCAGGGGTTTCGACACCAACACAGCAGGTTTCAAAGGAAATTAGACTCTTTTGGTTTCTCTCTCCAGCTCCAAGGATTCTGATGTCATCAACGAACTACAGGTAAGAGGAAGCAAACCTCAGTCATATTTCCCTAAGAGATAGCTTTCTAGCACTGCTTATGGGGACAAAACCCAAGGCTCTGGGGTACTGGCGGTGTGGATGGTGGCCTGGGGAATGCCCCTTAGCCAGCAGTCTTCAGGCACACCTGAAACTTGGAATGACTCAGTTAAATGGGAGGGAGATCAGAAATGGGGACTTAAGCCACAGGGTGAACCTGACCATCAAGGAGCCTGGTGCTCACATGGAGTAGGTGCCGCAGCATCCCATTTTTACCTGCAAATAACTTGGATGATTCCAGAAGTAAGTCTACTGAGCTTACAGGCCCCCACTATTCTGAGCTGGAAGTTATCATCAACTATGGCAAAAGGAAGATGCTATGAAAAGTCCACAGTACCAAGGCATCTAACCCAATCTTTGGAAAAAAGACAAATAGCCCTAATTATTGCTAGTATTCTCCACCTCAATCTTGTCCAAGTTTCATTTCTACCCACAATTAAGTGCAAATGAAGAGGAGACCAACTACAGCTGTTCAGACTAATGGTACCAGAAGATAGCAAAGGAGGAGACTTGGTTGCTTCTCTGCAGCTTTAGATTACACACACACACACACCCCAACCAACCAACCAACCAACCAACCCAAACACCTCACAAAAACCAAAGGGTTTTCTTTACCCAAGCAAAAAACAGAATGACTGAGGGGGTCTCAGTGTCTTTTCTAACTAAGAAACAAGTAATGAAGGTTACATTTATGATTTGTCAAAAGAAAACTCCAAAGAGTGTCCCTGTTTCTGAAATTAGGAAACATCTTAAATTCACCAAGGGAAAGGGTAAAGCTCTCCCATTCATAATTCATGTCCACTTGCAAACTGCACAGAGAAGGTAAGAGAATATGCTTAGCAGTGACATACACAGGTGAAGCAGGGATGCTGTCAGTGCCCAAGCAGCCCCAGGGGGAAGTTGGCAGGCACATCATGCTCCTCACAGGTGCACCTGCCTTTGCAAGGGGCCCTGCCCAACCTCAGCAAAGGCCATTTTCAGGATCTACTGAAGAGAAATTAATCTCCAACCGGGACATTTTCACTTCAGAGCCAAGGGTTCTCTGGCTCCTTTCTGACCATTTCTCTGAATGTTTTGAGACTCTCTTTGTTTCACTTTCTTTTTAAAAAGGTCAAACTTTGCAATTTATTCTTGCCCAGTTGGGGATTAGTGATAATCAATTCCCCCTGAAATCATGCAGAGATAGTAAGTGGGGTTTACCTTCTCTGGAAATGAACTTCTACTTACCTGATTATTTCTTCTACAATGAACTGGTAAATGACCCTCAGAGCTGAGAAGTCTTTTTCAGACTACTTCACTTCACTCCTATTCCCTTCAGTGTCAGAGAAGACAATTTGAGAATAACTGCAACTGAGCTGAAGGGTCCATGCCTGCAGGGTCCACCTGGGGCGCGTGTGTCAGCCACACAACAGTTAGAGCCTCTGGCCTCTGCACTTGAACCCAAAGGGCAGGGCATAGTCCAGGACAACAATGGCCATCTCTGCGTATTCACTTTCCAGCACAGCGCGTTAACACAGGCTAGTGAAGTTATGGCTACTGACTATTTTCAAACGGCCTAAGAACCATCCCTCTTGAATGCCTAGCCTTTGTGTTTTCTGGGTCTGAGGGTCCTCTTACCTTCAGCTGTAGCAGAATGCTTAGCTAATCAAAATGCCATGAAGAGTCAAAATAACATGCAAGAACCCTGTCTGTGGCTAAGCAGAAACAATTCTCCGCAGCATTTGGCTAGCTGGAAAGGGAATTAAGATTGAGAACATATTTTCCAGACAACAGCTTTCATTACCGGGAAACACTTTCTGAAGAGAACTTAGATCTATAAACTCAAAGTCTTCATAAATCAGAAAACAAAACAAAAGCAAACAACAACAAAAACATCGCCAAAATAAAAACAAAAACAAACCAAACCTAACCTAACCAAAACAAAAAACCCACATGTGCATGACCTGTCACTACACGGTAACAAAATCCAGTCTGGAAAGATACCTCTCTACAAATCAGAGAGGAGAGTTAAGATGCTTCTTTCCTCCTCCCTCTTGAAACTAAACGGTGCCTGGTTGTAGGCTGCTTGGAATTGGCTCTTGCTTTTGCTGTTTTACACCAGCTGGCTAAAACATAGCTTTCTTAAACTCAACTACATGAAGAATGGGAATAATGGGCCTCACAGCCCAATTTTCAAAGGAAACTCAAGACTGCCCTGTGATCTCTGAGCCTCTGACAGGTGTGGCCACACCACCCATAAGCTGCCTTGGCCAGGTCAGCCTGGCCCTTGCTGGGTACATTTATTTATGTTGTTCAGATGGCCAGAGATATTACGGGCTGGGGAAAGCAGAGAACAAGTTAAGGCCAGGAAAAAGGAGAAACGAAGGAGAAGGCAGCTTCTGTCTCATCAATAAACCCTGTATGCCAAACTTCACCCTGATCCTCTCTCTGCCAGCTCTGCCCTTTTGCAAACACCAGGCTTGGGAGAAGCAGAAGGCAGGCTCTACAGAGCAAGGTGCAGGTCACATTCATTTTTAGAGATGATATTTATTGGCCTAAATGCCCAAGAAGCCAGCTTTTACTTCTGACCATCTCTTCAGTGAATCCACCAAAATCGGGGGCCTGGATGCTCATAAGGTGTGATGAGGCAATCAGAGATGGGAACCAATGTGCAAGATGCACTGAACGCCTGGCTCTAGTCATTTCAGACCTTTCTGTGGGCTGAGCCTTACCAGTGATTTAAGATGAAGCACAACACTTTTTATTACACATCTAATTGGTAATGAGAGGAAATGCAATCAGCATCTCCTTTCCACACTCTACATGGAATCGAGGAGACTGCTGAGTCCAGAAAGATGCAGCCATTGATGAAGCCCAGCAAGTGCTGGCCCTTAGGCCCCCTCCTTTTTGGGTTGAGGAAAGAAGAGAAGAGAGTTGCAAAGATAGCAATAGCATCTCGGAGGAGAATCCAGAGCCAGCGCAGGGTCACCTGCAGCAACGTCTACATTGCCAAGTGTGAGCCCCGAGCTCTTGCAGCAGCGGCGTTTTCTAGGTGAGTGGGTGCCTTCCAGCCGAGGACACTTCACACACTCTCTTCTTGGATGGAGAGGAACAGGTGGAAAGTGCTAGAGGTGGTGGGGAGAAGCGAGGAGGGACAGAAGTGGAGAAAGAGAAGGGAGGCTGCAGGCCCCGATCTTCCAGTGTATGCATTCTTGTCTTCTATTTGCCTGGAGGCTACACCCAGAGCTCCATGTCCTCAGAGCTGTGGGGCTGGGCTGCACTGTTAACTGGGAGGCACTGGGTGCTGTCTGCCTGCACCCCCAAGTCCCTAGGAAATGTGTCACTCCCAATAGGTTATATAGGGCAATTAGTTCTGCTTAATGGCAAAGCAAGAGAGATTCTGGCAAAACACTAAATATATTTATAAGTCATCTTTGTCTGGAACCAAATGAAAAAAAAAAAAAAAAAACCACCACAGGTGCAGGGTAAAGGAGGAGGGGCGGGAGGTTGAAAAGTTCATTCACAAATGAAAAACGTCTTCCAATAGCAGCATTGAAGCAGGTGGCCGCGCTGAGGAGTCTGTCCTGGGCCGACTGCAGACCAGCTGTGTCCCAGCAGCAGCCTCACTGCCCCACTCTCGGCTAGTCCGGGAAACTGGGTAATAGTTTGATTTTACTGTTGTCGCTCGTCCTGGTATTGGCAGATATGTTAAATACCGCAACTTTAATGAATCCTGTGTGAAAACAGAGCAAACAGGCATTAGTCCCTTTCCCCATGCTCCCCACTCGCTCTAGGAGAAAAAAGCCACGCTCTTGGCTGTCAGCTGGGAAACGGACTGGTGGGGTGGGGGAAGAGTCTTGTTAATGGCTGCCACCTGCTCATGGCATGTGGGTGCTCCTATCAACATGACCTGACTAGGGACCAAAGGCAGGAGTCACTGTGACATGCTCAGGGCCACGGTGCTCAAGCAGAGGACTTGGGTCTTGAGGTTGACAGTGAATGTTGTTGGTATCTGGCATCAAGCTTTCGCTTGCTCCCAAGAATGGCAGGACAGGCAGGGATGGGAATACAGCAGAAGAAGACATCAGCCTGGTGGTTTGGCTGCAGAGTCCTGGTGGTAAGAGGAAAGGGAAGCCGACCGTGGGCCTGCGTGCCAGAGGTGCACCTGCTACCAGCAAGCACAGTAATGTCACCAGTGGCTGCAATCTGCCTGGAGACTACAGCACAAGTCGGGACTGCAGATAGGAACTTCAGAGTCATCTATGTAGAACTGTGGGCTGATGCCTTGGAAGGAGACAATGTAGCCAAGGAGGGAAGCTCAGGTAAGGCAAAAGGGCCAGAGACAGGCTCTTAGTGCTATCTGTAATCTGTGGGGATGAGACTGGAAGAAGACATAGAACCCAATGTAAGTACATGTCCATGGCAACCGACAATCATGACCACTCCACCGCAGGGCATGCCAGGTGTGGATCGCTCCCCTCCCCCCAAGGAGGAGCAAACCCAGAAGTGTAAAAGGACAGTGCACATGTGCTGGAGCCATGGGAAGTGAGGCAAGCGTAGGAGTCGAGATGCTGTGAGCACAGCCTTGCTCCGCAGCAGCCTGTGCCGTTTTCCCCAACATCTGGGTTTTAGGACTTTCCCCTGGCTCTGGGAGGATGGAGGCCTAATCTGTTGGCAGAGCTCCTGCCTGGATCTTCTCTGTCTGAGAGAAGGGGAGGAGTGGGAATACAACTGAGTGACACCAACCTGGCAAAGCTGCTAGTGTCAGCATAAAATCCCACCAAGAGATATTGCCATCTACATGTAAGCTACCAAACTGGCTCAAAAACAATCAATGCAGGCAGTTGACTGACATGGAAACTATAACACCACATACAGGCTTTTGGATGGTAACTTAGCTTTCAAACTACTTTGAATCTCATTTTATTTTCAAGATAATCCTACAGGGGTGAGGGGGTAGGAGCAAATTAATTCTACCACACAGGCAGGGCCCCTAGAATCTGACTGCCTTTAGTGAATGGCAGGGTCCCTTGGCCACCCAAGCCTGTCTCATGTCTCACTGCTTTACAGAATCTGGTAAGACATAGGGTGTGACAAGGTTTCCCAAACACCAACTCCTTGCAGAAAGTCTGTCTCTGAACCAAGGCTGTCTCGGACCCAAAGTAGTCCATTCTCTTATCTCTGCTCACAATTTTTTCTCATACCTGGGTAAGTACGAGGTCAGTGTATGCATATTTATCTGGAGATGTAGGTGTATGTTCGAGAAGGGGAACGAGGTGGTTCTGCTTGGGCAGCTGGATCGTTTAGGAAGTCCCAGATGAGGATCGTGTCATCATGTGAACTACTGACAATCTGGAATTCATCAAACTGGAGTCGGAAGACTCTTCCAGAATGCTCCTGAACGGAGGCAAACAAAAAAAGGTGAGAATTTGAACTGAAAACTGAAAGAACACCAATTCACCAGCATGTCTAAAGGAGGCTATCATGTGCTGCTAATTTTCATTGTACCACTTAGTCATTTAGAAAACGAAGGAAAAACAATCACACTAGAAAAGTCAAGTACTGGTCAGCTAATTCCATCAGCAAAACAGATCAAACAATATCCTTTAGTTGAGACAATTACATTGTAGTTAGTTGCTTACTACTAAGCTTATTTAAAACAGATGAGTGCACTGGTTGGGACCTCCTTCACTTTATTTTGTCTCTAAAATTCCTTCAACAGAGGTCAAGGGTTGGAGCAAGAAGTGGTGAGCTGCTCAATATGTATCATCAGTCAACCTTCTCCAACTTGCAAAACCATTTCTGTGACACAAACTATTACCATGACCCAGTTCAGGTTACCTGTGCATGGTCAACCAGGTCAATTCGCAAAACTCATGAAACTCTGACAGTTGGTTCTCATAAGTGAATATGAGCCTGTTGCAGGACACTGCTGATGGAAATCAGCACTGCAATCAAGATGCAGAGCATTTCTGGCCCCTTGCTAGTTGGTATTATCTTAAATCCAATGCTATCATTGATTTGGCCTGTTCTTGAATTTCATACCAAAAAAGTCTGTATTTTTATGCTGGGCTTCTTTTACCCAACCAACATTTACAAGACTCCTCTCTACTATATATATATAATATATAATTTATATAAATTAGATTTAATGCTGAAATCAGCTTTGCATATCATACCTGGATAAGTTTAACCTGGTCACATTATGCCATTCCCTTTATATATTTTCATTTTGCCTTCCAAACAAATGAAACACAAAAAGTTTACAAAAGGCAGTGTGGGGCCCGGCGCGGTGGCGCAAGTGGTTAAGGTCCTCACCTAGCACGCCCGGGATCCCATATGGGCGCCGGTTCTAATCCCGGCAGCCCCGCTTCCCTTCCAGCTCCCTGCCTGTGGCCTGGGAAAGCAGCAGAGGACGGCCCAAAGCTTTGGGACCCTGCACCCGCGTGGGAGACCCGGAAGAGGCTCCTGGCTTCGGATCGGCATAGTATCGGCCGTTGCGCTCACTTGGGGAGTGAATCATCGGATGGAAGATCTTCCTCTCTGTCTCTCCTCCTCTCTGTATATCTGCCTTTCCAATGAAAACATAATAAAAATAAATCTTTAAAAAAAAAAAAAAGGCAGTGTGACAAAGAAAGAAAGCAGATAGAAAGGCAGGAATCTTCCATCTACAAAAACCACAGGTGCACTATGCAAAGCTAGTTCTTGGGCGATCACCTACTGCCTTCCAGGCACATTCACAGACAGATGGATGGAAGCAGAGGGGGGACTCAGTCCCAGGTGCTCCAATATGGGATGCGGGTGTCCTAAACAGTGGCTTAATCCGTTGCATCACAATGCCTGCCCCAATTTACATTCAAGATCTAGCAATGTACAAAGATGAGCACCTATGTCCATGAAAAATACTGATGGGTACCAAGTTATTCTTTCCTTGTCGTGCCTTTTTGCCTGGGGATTAGGGTAATGATGAATTCACAGAATGTGTTAAGAAACATTTGATCTCCTTGTATCTTAAAGAAGAATTCAGAAAATTGGTGAAGTTTCTTCATTAAATGTTTAATGAACTCATCATTGGGGCTTGGTCTCTGTCTTAAAAGGCCACTAACAACTGATTCAGTTTCTTTAAAAAACCTAAGCCTGTCGAGATGATATGCTTCTTCTGTGAATTGTGGCATGCAATTTTCAAAGAATTATTGTGCTTCATGTAGGTGATTAACACTGTACACTGAGAGCTGTTCAGTGTCCCACTAGATCTCCAATGTCATGAAATCTGTGGGGATGTCAGCTCAGTGCTGGTATCAGTAATCTGTACTTCTCCTTTCCTAGTCTTGCTGCACACTTATCAATTGTATTGATTCTTGAAAAAAAAATCAGTTTTTTTGTCAATCTATTTATGTGATAGGTGTGTGCAGACACATACAGAAACAGAGAGAAAAAGATCCCATGTTTTCCATCTGCCGGCACACTGCAAAAACGCCTATGAGCACAGCCAGATGGGAGCTGAAGCTGGAAGCAGGGGGAACCTGACACAGATCTTCCATGTGGGAGTAGAAACTCAATTCTAGGAGTCAAATCCAGGTTCTCTGGTGTGGAATATCAATGTCTTAATTGCTAGGTTAAATGGCCATTTCCTCAGTTTTGTTTTTTCTATCTTTACACACACACACACACACACACACACTTTAGAAAAGAACATTTACTATTTGTTTATTTCTTTTTTATTTAATTTGAAAGGCAGAATTACAAGGAGAGAGTGACAGGGAGTTTCCACCTATTCCCCACATGGCCATGATGGCCAAGGATGAGCCATTCTGAAGCCAGGAGCAAGGAACTTCTTTGGGTCTTCCAATCACATGCAAGGACTTGGGCCATCCTCCACTGCCTTCCCAAGCCACTAGCAGGGAGCTGGATTGGAACTGGGGCAGCCTGGACTTGAACTAGTGCCACAGGTGGAGGCCCAGCCTGCTAACACTACTGTACTAGCTCCAGTCGGAGTTTCTCTATTCATTTCTTTCTTTCTTTTTTTTTTTTTTAATTTCATAGATTTCTGTTCTAATCTTTATTATTTTTTTCTGCTTACTCTGGATATAATCTCATCTACTGGTTTATTCAAGCAGAAACTTACATTATTGATTTCACAGCCTTCTTTTCTAATACACATACTGATGCTATAAATTTCCCTCTAAGTGCCGGTTTCTCTGCATCCCCCAATTTTTTAACAAGATGTATTTTCATTTTTGCTTGGGTCAAAATACTTTCAACTTCTCTTGAGCATTCTTCTTTGAGTCATATGTTATTTAGAAGGGCGTTGTTTAATCTCCATTGATATTCTAGCATTTTCCAGTTACTGATTTCTAGATTAATTCCATTGTGGCCTGAGAGCCTACCTTCTCACCTGATAACAACCCTTGCTCTGAAGTCTGTTCTCTGCTTTATTAAATTAATACGGCTCTTTTAGCTTTCTTCAGATTAGTGTTAGCATGGTATATTAGTTTGCTACTGCTGTTGTAACAAAGTATGACACATTAGGTGGCTTAAAAACAGAATGTGAAAAACACAACACAACACAACACAACACAACACAATGTGGAGACTAAAGTCCAAGATTCAAGGTGGGGGTGAGAATAGGTTCATTCTGAAGCTTCTCTCCTCCCTTTGACTTCACATAGTCCTTCCCTCTGTGTGTGTGCATACAGGACTAGAGCCTACAATGATCTCATTTAACCTTAATTACTCCTGTTGAAATTCTATCTCCAAAATACAGTCACATTCTGAGGTATGTTAAAACTTCAAAATGTGGGCACAATTTGGTCCATAATACATGGCATAGTTTTTCAAATATTTTACTTTAAGTCTAAATGGGTCATGACATTTAAATGGTTTCTTATAGATAACATACAGTCCACTGTTTTTCTCTGATCCACTGACAATCTGTCTTTTAATCCCAAGTAGCAAAAAACACAAAGAAAACCACACCAAAATACATCATAATCAAATTGCTGAGAATCAGTGATAAAGAGCAAATCTTAAAAGCAGCCAGAGGAGAAAAATACATTATGTGTGCAAGAATGAAGATAAATGACTTCCAACTTCTCATCAGAAACTAAGCCAGATGAAAACGGAATGACATCATTAAAGTGCTGGAAGATACTGTCAACCTAGAATTGTTTAGGTAGCGAAATATCTTAAAAAAAAAAATGAAGGCAAAAGAGAGACTTCTTCAGGCAAACAACAGCTGAGAATAGATGTCACCAGCATAGCTCAGCACACAAAATGTTACAGGAAGGTCTTTAAGCAGGAGGGAAATGACAGCAAGGACCAAAACCAGCTACTGTGCCAGGCTGTGATCTTCCTTCTTAAGAGATAAGTTGGAGATAAAACAAATCAGAAAATGGGCAGGAAAATGGTGGTGGTGGTGGGGTGGGCGGGGGAAGGACAAGAGGAAAAAGGTAGGAATAGAAACAGACTGAAACCCAGCCATGTCAACATTATATTGTATGTAAAGGGCTGAAATATGGCAATCAATTTAAAGTCCAAGACAGTCAGACTGGAACAAACTAACAAACCAATCAAGACCCATTAAATGTTGAGTATGAGAAATCCATTTCAAGTATTATGCAATGAGATACCACTACCCACACACTCAACTGACTGCAATTCCTAAAAATACCAATGAGAGTACTGCAAGGATATGAATAGCTGGAACTTTCCTACATTTTAGTAAAAATCCAGACCTTTGGCCCTAAATGTCACTGCAGGAAATAATTTGGTGGTTTAAGTTTAAATATACACTTATCAAAAGATCCATAAACTGTACTCATAGATATTTACCAAAGAGAAATGAAAACAGTATGGACACAGAAAAGCCTGTACAGAAATCAACAAAAACTGGGAACATTCCAAACATTCTTGACTGATGAATGAACTAACCAAATGATTTATCCACACATCAGAATACTACTCAGCAATAAAAAAGGTAACCGATACATGTAATCTCAGATGAAGTGGAAAAAACTGAATACAAGGGTCTCACAATGTATGGCTTCATAAGGAAGTGAAACTGTAGGGCTAACAGCTGCTAGTGGGGATGGGGTGGGTGCTGATACAGAGAGGAACACGAGAATGGGGTGGGAGGGAATGATGGAAATGGGGTTACATAACTGCAAAATTCACAGAATTATATTTTCAAGTGGAATGCATTCTGCTGCATGTAAATTACAGCTCAAAAACAAGATCTGCTGGGCTAACTGTAAATGAATGGAAGTGCACATTTGAAGACAGGTGTGAAACATGCAGGTATGTACATCTGGCGATTAAAGAATGAACTTTAAATCCTACAAGGAAGACAGGCCCACCTAACTGTCGACTCAGAACAGTGGGCTTCAGATGTCTGCTCTCCTCTTTTCCCGGAGATCTGCAGGGCTCTGTCCGTACCAGTGTCTACCTCTTTCCTAACAGAAGCAGCTTTTACCAGTGTAGCCCCTTGGGCAACAACATACTAAAGAATTTAGTGCATCTGAAGGTGACATTCCTCCTCTTGCCTCGCTCTTCTTCCCAGTGTCACATTCTTCAAGCAGGGAATACAAGAGATGTGACTGAGGCTGCTGCAGGCACCATGCCTTGAACAGCACGCAGAACTGGGGGTCTGACCGGGGAGTTGGCGCAGACTCCCAGGGCACTTTTGGCAGGCACAGGTGTGCAGGTCCTCAGATGCTGGACGGGTTCCAATTTGAGTAATTATATTCTCTCCCCCTTAGTACCCCCTGCTGCTTCTGCTGGATACAGAATTCTTATTCACTTCCTGTACTAAATTGTTGTGCAGAGTTACTGTGCAGCTGTTTAACAGCTGCCACATCCCCCTCTCCATACAGTCTCTAAAGCATTTAGGGATGAAAGGAGCTATACACACATATTTTATTGTCAAGGATCCGTTACCTTCTACTGAGGAGTAGGTTCTGTGAAGTCCTAACTATCAAGTCTGGGTCTATACGTGCGATGCACCTGGCACATTCACCTTAACCTCCTCCTTTACCTGCTCTCTGAGCCCCAGAGATCAAAAGGCTCTTACCACAAGGGTCCGCAGACAAAGCGTTCCTGCAGGAGCTCGGGGGTCTAAAGCAGCTACCAGATCCCACACTTTAATTTTTCTGAAGATCAAAAAGGGAAAAAAAAACATGTTAGTTACAAGGAAAATTAGGGAAAAGCAAGTCATAGTAATAAATACAATAATCAGTATAGCTGAAATGACAAATTCAGCTCATGGGAATACATATGAACTTCATGTATTAGAGACAGTTCTGGCATTCATTGTTAGTTAAAAATTTTTAATCTTAATAGGCGAAGATGTCTGTATTTAACATAAAATGTATATCATGTCAGCTTTAACCAAACTGAAGACAGTTCATACAAGTCACACCATAATTTGGGGTCAAAAGGAGAACTTGTACACTTGATCTTTAATGATTATTTAGACCCAGAAACCTACCACTCTGCGTTGTCCTCTTGCTGGCCTGTTCTAACAATGGCCTAGGTCATATGTACCACTTCTGGGATTATATAAGCAAACTCACATTTTGACCTAAGTAAGGAAAAGTCTAGACTTTCTGAACATTATTTATAGATCATGTATCCACAAAGCATTTAACAAACAAAACCCATGAGATGGTTTCAGATGAAAGCCAAGGCAATGAAAAATACAATGCTGACCCAGATGGAACACGTCACTGCACTATGAACAATTTCCCAAGGGTGTGACAGAATGGCTAACGGGAAGCAGAGGAAGTAAGCTGGTCACACTTACTGCTCCTAGCCAGTTCATGAACTAAATGCTGTAGGTTGATTCGCTGTATTTACAAAGCTGCCAATATTGAGCTGCAGTCTTCTACTCGCTCCCCCACCTCAATAATTAGCCACCTTGATGAGAAGAAATGGTGACGAATCTTTCTCAAGTGATTTTATGCTGTGTCGAATGCTATTTTTTTACAGATTTATTTATTTTTATTGCAAAGTCAGAGAGAGAGAGAGAGAGAGAGAGAGAGAGAGAGAAAGAGAAGGGGAGACAGAAGTGTTTTCTGTTCGGTGATTCACTCCCCAAGCAGCCACAACGGTCGGTGCTGTGCCAATCTGAAGCCAGGAGCCAAGAGTTCTTCCAGGTCTCCCACACAGGTGCAGGGTCCCAAGGCCTTGGGCCATCCTCGACTGCTTTCCCAGGCCACAAGCAGGGAGCTGGATGGGAAGCAGGACTGCAGGGATTAGAACCGGCACCCATATGGAATCCTGGAGTGCTCAAGGCCAGGACTTTGGCTGCTAGGCCACAGCACCGGACCCGTTGAATGTTATTAAATATCGGGTCCATTCACAGTACGACTGGATTTTAATCACTAGACTGCAGAAATTGATGATTAGTGGACTCACTACAAATGGTCGCTATAAATGCTGACAAGAACTGAACTTCTAGAAATTCTCAAGGAGATCTGAGTTAAAAAGATCAAAATGCAAGATAAGACCTCATGACATTAGCCCCAAAGATACAGATCCCCAATGCACTAATAAGCTATCATTTTACACACATCCCGCTAGATTCAGTGTGTCAGGTTACCCATGAAGATCACATGCAAACAAATGCAGAAAACGCTGAGAAGGGCATTTTAGAAAACGCTACATAAGAAAAGGCGAGGACAGATAGACAAGAAATATTTTATCAGAGCTTTTCTGTGAAATCCATAAGTTTTGAGACCAGAAAAGATTCTATTTAACATTGAAAACCACAAAGGAGTAAGATGTATCTTTGGTTTTTAAGCCTGTTAGCAACTCACCCATCATAGGCCCCGCTGACTATTCTCTTGTTATCAAAGCGAATACAGCGCACCAGTTCCTCGTGGCCTTCCAACACCCGCAGACACGCACCGCATTCTATATCCCACAATCTGGAAGAGAACATTGAGTCAAGTGAATTTCCATCTATGCTGTTCTAAGCACATTGATATACTTCATACATCGCTTCAAAACCTGCAAGAAGAAATCAGTCATCATCCCGACAACAGCGCAGCGCTTTCAGCACAATTTATTTCCTTTCCACTACAGAACTCGGGCAGAAAAATGTATAGAATAAGTTCACATGTAATATGTATTTCCAAAGCACAATGCTTTATAAAATTCTGTAACCAGGTTCTCCCAGAAAGCAAATGGATGAGTTCAATACCCACAGCTGCCTAGGAAGGAGATGATTCTGCCTGAAGTCACTAATAAGAATGGACACCGAGGACTGGGCACCATAGTAGCAGCTAAAGCCCTCGCCTTGCATGTGCTGCGATCTCACATGGGCACTGGTTCTAATCCCAGCGGCTCCACTTCCCATCCAGCTCCCTGCTTGTGGCCAGGGAAAGCAATCAAGGATGGCCCAAAGCCTTGGGACCCTGCACCCATGTGGGAGACCTGGAAGAGGTTCCTGGCTCCTGGCATCAGACCGGTGCAGCTCCGGCCATTGCAGCTGCGTGGGGTGTGAATTAACAGACAGAAGATTTCCCTCTCTGTCTCTCCTCCTCTCTGTATATCTGCCTTTCATAAAAATAAACATTAAAAAATCTTAAAAAAAGAGTGGACACTGAATGTCACTGACAAAGCCCCCCCATGTCTGCCACTGAGGCTGCACCCACCCTTCGTGACAGTCTTTTTTATGCCACAGGAATGTAAGATCCATATCAACTCAAAAACTACCTACTGGCTGACCAATCCAAATGTGCTGCAGGAATAATTTCCATAAATCTAACAATGAACTTTATATTTGTTATAAATGCATTATTGTTATTATTATTATTATTAATTGGAAAGGCGGATATACAGAGAGGAGAGACAGAGAGGAAGATCTTCCATCCGATGATTCACTCCCCAAGTGCGCGCAACGGCTGATACTATGCCAATCCGAAGCCAGGAGCCTCTTCCGGGTCTCCCACGCGGGTGCAGGGTCCCAAGGCTTTGGGCTGTCCTCGACTGCTTTCCCAGGCCACAAGCAGGGAGCTGGATGGGAAGTGGGGCTCCCAGATTAGAACCAGTGCCCATAAGGGATCCCGGTCATTTAAGGTGAGGACTTTAACCACTATGCTATTGTGCTGGGCCCAATTTACAACTTTTTAAAAAAGACTTATTTTATTTGGAAGGTAGAGTTGGGGTAGAGAGAAGAGACTGAAAGAGATTTTCCTTTTGCTGGTTCAGTCCCTAAACAGCTACAGTGACCAGAGCTGGGCTGGTCTAAAGCCTGAAGCCAGGAGCCAGGATCTTCTTCCAGGTCTCCCATGTGGGTACAGGGTCCCAAGGCTTTGGGCCACCTTTCATTGCTTTCCGAGGTCACTAGCAAGATACTGGATCTGAAATTAGAGCAGCCAGGATACAAACCATTGCCTATATGGGATATAAACGCTATAGGCAGCAGTGCTGCCTCCAGAATCTTCGTAATTTCAAAGGGAAGTAAATTTAGTGAGTCACGAAATGTGAAACAAAACGTTTTTCTCATCTGAACTTGAACTGTGGTAATGCAACAAGGTGGAGGAATCCACCAAGGGTTTGGGTAGGGGTGGGGGGAATCCCAGTGCCTATAAAACTGTGTCACATAATGCAATGTAATTAATAAAAAAAAAATAAAAAACCCCAAAAAACTTCTTGAAGTTGGCATTGCAGTACAGTCAGCTTAGTAACCAGATGCAACCCTGGCACCCTATTTCAGAATGCCCTGCTTGTTAAGGCACGTGGGAGAACAGCACAAGATGACCAAATGTTTGAGTCCCCGCCACCCACATGGGAAACTAGGCTGAAGTTTCTGGCTCCTCCCTTTGGCCAGACCATCTGCTAAGTGAGACAGCAGTTTTATAAATTTCTCTCTATGCTTCCAACAAACAAAGAAGGAAATAAAAAGAAAAGAGACAAAGAAAAACAAAGAAGAAAAAAAAAAAGACAAAATTATCACTAAAAGAGGGAAACAGATCCTCTTCCCCCCCTCTCTCTCTTGAACAGCTGAAATAAAGAGAAAAGGCCCACGGTAATTTATTAGTCAACATTTACATTTCTGGGCTTGCTCAGTAGCCTAACTGGCTGAACCTCCACCTGCAGCACTGGCATCCATGTGGGCATGGGTTTGAGGTCTGTGCATTCCACTTCTAATCCAGCTTCTTCCCTATGGCCTGGAAAAGCAGGAGAGGCTGGGCAAAGTCCCTGCACTCAAGTGGAACACCAGAAGGAAGCTTTTGGCTCCTGGCTTTGAGCCAGCCATTGCAGACATTTAGGGAGTTACCTAGTTGAAGGAAGATCTTTCTGTTTCGCCTTCTCTTTCTGCAACTCTTTGCAATGAAAAATAAATACACCGCTTAAAAAAGCGTTAGCTTTTACTAATTTTAAAACTGATTCTACTTACTAAAAAGGGAGAGAGAGAGATTGATTTTCCAGTTGCTGGTTCACTCCCTAAACGGCTGCAACAGCCAGAATGAAGCCAGGTGTCTAGAACACAGTTCAGGTCTGCCACATGGGTGGCAGGGACAAAAGTCCTTGAGCTGTCACCTGCTGCCTCCCAGGATGCAAACTATCAGGAGGTTCATGTTATCAGGAAGATGGGATTGGGAGAGGAGCCAGACTGATGTGGCATGCAGGTAGCTCAAGTTGACATCATGACAGGTAAGCCATGTGCCCACCAACAGGACAAATTTAAAAAGTTCAATTCCATCTGCTGGCCTTTGTCTTTTTCTTCCTCATTGAAGCAGTAGTTTTGAAACAGGCCTACTTGCTGATCATACTGTCACAAGAAGGCAACACACTAACACAAGGTTTGTTGTGATGTCTCTCTCCTTGGGACAACACACCTGAGCTGACAATCAGCTCACGCAGTTGTAAAGGCAAGCACAGGGAAAGGGCAGCAGCCACACACCTGATAGTGTTGTCAGATGAGCCGCTCACCACCAGCCGGTCTCTGTACTGCAAACAGGCGATGCCTCGTTTGTGTCCATTTAAAGTCCTCACAAATTCACAGGTACTTGTGTTCCACACCTGAAAGAGAAAATAGCTTTGAGAAGTTAATGCGGTTCTTTTCCTGGTAAGTTTTATAGCAACTGGTGCCTTGCAGAAACAAACAAGAGTGAGTTAATAGCAGGAAGTCAAGTTTTGAGACAATCACAGAAGACAAGATTAATGAATGGTAGCAAGTTAATTTTTAGCTGGCTGATACGTTAGAGAATTTCTCAAATGGATATGGAGTGGTCTGGGCTTGCAGATATATTTTCTTGAACTTGTATGTACTCCTTTCCTTCTCATACTCACCATTACTTGTAGGGAATACCTCGCACCTAGTTTGTGAACTAAGTATTGTGCTTCTTGACAGTGATATTTAGATACGAAATTTTCCTTGATATAATTTCCAATGAGCTCCCTCCCTTATTCTAAGTTGAAGACTTAACTGAAAAATGTCTTGTTACCTTTATAGTTCTGTCCCCTGATGCAGAAACAATGTACTTGTCATCAAAATCAACAACATTGACAGCAGCTCGGTGCCCAACCAGCACCCTCCGGAGGGTGATGTCCGTTGGGGATGCCATGTCCCACACAGCGATGGAGCGATCTTTGGAGCAGGTCACCATCATGCCGTTATTGAAACGCAAGTGCAGCACAGCTTCACAATGGTGAATCAGTGTGTTGAGCATCTCGCCTGTATTCACATCCCACACTCTGGAAGGGATAGTGGAGATTTATTTAGGTGGTTCTCAAGCTAAACTACCACTTGTTAGCGTATCTGCCCACCCTGCACCCTGACCTCCATGCTTTTGTGGTTAGGACTCGGCCCTCTGCTTTTTCTGCAGTGACTGCTGAGGCAGAGGTGAGATGTGGAAGAACTAACCACAGCAGAGTATGGGACCCCTGGATAGTCTGGAAACTTTATAGCACGATGTATTTTACTTTGTTGCCTCTACATTTTTGCGTATTTCATTTTTATAACATTTCATCTGCTTTTTCCAGTTCTACCCCGTGGCATCTACACCGTTTCATGTTCGAAGAGGCACTCTGCAAGCAATGCTAAGCACAGATACGTGCAAGGACTGAGTTTGCATATTGTTATGCCTTTAAGTCAAAAGAAACAGGCACAACCTTTTCTGTACACAAAGGGTAACATTTAACTTTAGAGAATTTAACAATGCTATTAACCATTTCCCCCTTGTGTTAATGCATTGTGTTTGTGGAATCCTTCACTTAAGGCAAAATCCCTGACTGAGGTATCCAGCAGTGCTGTCGGTGCCCAGAATCTGAGCTACCCTGGACTCTGGCAGCATAATGGCTGTGTCATCAAATCACTGCCACGTCTGGAAGTGCAGGGGCCCTCCCCGAGTAAAGCTGGCAATTAAAGACTGTGGGGCCAGCAGGGGAAGAAGGGCTGGCACAAGACAGCATCGCTCACCTGCACACATTTTCAAGGAGATGAGACATGCCTGTGCTATAGTTACAGCCATCAGAAACAAAAGCTTTGTTCCATTTCTGCCACTCCCTGCTGAAGTGGTTTGTCTAAGGACTCAAAGTTTGCCAGCCAGACAAGAAAGGTTTCCATAATGGGTGACTCTAAATTTCACAAAGTGTGGTGTGTAAAGACATGCAAAAATGCAAGCTTACTTCAGTCATACCAAAATCAAAGTTGTTACTTTTTTTTTTATTATTTGTTTGAAATTGACACAAATGTCAAGGAGAGTTCAGTTTATTATTTTCCTTTAGTTTCCAACCATATTCATGTGGACACACAACACGGTACCTAACCACGACAAAGAACAGAAAAGGTCTGGCGTTTCAGAGTTCAAAAGAGTTTTTGAAAATTTTCTACCTGACTGTGGAATCCGATGACCCAGTTATGATCACCCTCTCGTCATACTGGAGACACAGGACGGAACCAGTGTGGCCCGTGAGAATTCGTTTGCATTCCAGTGTGCTTTTATCCCATATCTAGAATGGCAAACAAGATCCTTTTAATTATGGTGATAATGGGGTGCTGTGGAGACTTGTTGGCTTTATTATGTGTTTGATCCCTGCCCCAAAGAATTAAAGCCCAGAGGGGTGTGGAATGCATTCTTATCTACAGGTTAAGTTCAGTACTTACACACATGTGGCAAATTTTATCCTTTCATTAAGGAACAGGGGTGGCTTATAATCATGTGAGGACAAATACAGCAATCAGTAGCATACTCAATTTATTTCAAGAGAATTTAACCCTAGCACTAAGTTCATATACTCTTCTAGGGGAAAAGCAGTATCTGCCCTTCAAGGAAAGGCAAGAACCTAAAAATTCTCACTTCCCAGGAATACTGCTTAGAGTTGATGCTTTGGGTTGCTTTTTTCAACGCAGCACACGCCCACTCTCTTAGTAACCCTACCACAACTTAAAGAGACTTCACCTTGATTGTGTTGTCTCGAAGGCCGCTTACTATTTTCTGATCATCATACTGTAAACAGTAAACTCCTTTGCTTGTTTCACTCCGGCAGTGAATTCTCTGTAAACTATGTCTTCCACATCTCCAATTAGATTCTATTGTCTGAGAAGAAGGAATGATACAAAGGCGGTCATTAGGAAAGGGTCAAAACCAAACTCAGCTGACTTCAGCAGCAACAATGACTCGATTCTTTAATCAACAGACTATGAAAAAACTTATGTTTTTTTTAAAGATTTATTTATTTTTATTGCAAAGTCAGATATACGGAGAGGAGAGACAGAGAGGAAGATCCTCCATCCAATGATTCACTGTTTTCAAGCGGCCGCAATGGCCAGAGCTGCAGCGATTCTAAGCCAGGAGCCTGGAGCCTCCTCCAGGTATCCCACGCAGGTGCAGGGTCTCAAGGCTTTGGGCCGTCCTTGACTGCTTTCCCAGGCCACAAGCAGGGAGCTGGATGGGAAATGGGGCCTCCAGGACTGAAACTTGTGCCCATATGGGATCCCAGCACATGCAAGGATAGGACTCCAGCCACTAGGCTACCATGTCGGGCCCAGACTATGTAAAACTTAACTGCAAACTAAAACTACGATTTTATAAAGCTGACTACCTACATTTCTAAAAACATTTTTGCATTTGCGATGTAGGCATTTATTTTCTATTTTTCTAGAACTTTCCTGCATGTAACACCTTCAGTTAAATAATAAATCTGGTGGAAAGGGGTCATCCACCAAGAATGAAGTGGGTTATGTGCTCAGTGCTGCTGCATGTGGTGATCACTACTCCCAATGGACTTCATGAGTGTTCAGTTCAGAAGACATGTGAATATCAGCTAATGAGTGCACGCCTAACAATCCCACTGAGACTGTGTGAAGGAATCAGTCTCTCTTATCTATTTATCTTCCAGCAAACAATGTTTAGGAGTTTTGAAAAATTTACCTGGCAATTTACTATATTTTATCTACCCTGCTCACTTGTAAGGATATTGATTTTTAACAAACATCAATAAACTTTAATGGGCTTGCTGTAACAATGTTACTGAGGAATGTTGATGACTCTTCATCAATTCGCCAAATACCCAAAAGTACACAGCTCCTTACCTCAATGTCTTGTATAATTTTAGGATAAAGTGCTCTGTAAAAAGAGTTGGGAGGCGCGTTTCCATCGGGAGGCTTGTTTTTGAATAAATACTGTCCCCTAAAAACAACAAATATTTCCAAATGAAAATCATAATCTTATACATTGACACATTGAGCTTTGTTATTTCTTCAAAGTGTTTTCAAGTACTATTCCATAGAATTTCCCTAATTGGGAAAAATATGAAGTTATAAGCCTGATTTCAGGAGTTTCATGTAAAAAAAAAACAAAAACAAAACTGCATTCTGAGCTTTATAGTATTTGATAAAGACTGATTTGCATTTGAGTAAAACAGAATGATGTCAAAAGACAGACTATGTATAATCAGAGTCCACCTACTGTTTATAGACAATATATGGATTTCCTGGACTTATTCTTGGCCAGTTTTGCTAGTGATGGTGACTATATTTGAATTAACACCTGCCCCTTAGCCTTTTACTTTGAGTAAAGTAGTGCTACTGTCAGCCTGGCATGGGGCACTGCAATGCCTCCTCAGGTATAAATGTCACTGTTTCTAGGTGACAAAAGCAGAGGCTGTTCCCATGCTGCTGGTCACAGAATGAAGGGATAACAGGAGTGCCCAGCAGCAAGTGGGGAAAAAAAGGATGAAAAGTAGCCCCTAAGAGCACTGTGCTGTCAAGTCTAGGGCAGGCAACTGCCCGTCACAGGTGTGTTCCTGGCTACACACACACACATACACACTCATTTACTGCAGCTCCTTCCTCGTGACAGCACATCTCTGGAATCCTCATATCCCAAGTTAGATCTTTGCTACGAAAAAAAATCAGTAAATGGCAATCACTTCCTGCTGGGTAAAAAATTTAATTCCTCATCCTGAAGTTAAGGACCCACCAACCACGGTGTGGAAGCTAGTAAAGCCCACTATGGGTGGACTGACTGCTGTTCGCACTGGCACCGTGCCTCGCAAAGTGGAGACAGGCAGAAATGCCTCTGAGTGTAATCCTGGCACCGGAGAAATCATGTTTTCTCTGGGCCAGTCATCCACTCCTCCCTCAGCACCTCCATTACAATATAATTAATTGTTCAATGTCTCCAGGAGTGCTTTTTCCCTGCCCTCTCCCTATCGCACACCTTGGAAAGGAGCTGAGAACATTTCCTATCGGGCAGGTAGCTGCTTCGGAGTTCTACGTTAATATAGAGAATAAAATGCACAATGAAGAGGCTAAAAGCGTACTGTTAAGAAAGAGAGGACTAATGCAACATCAAAGACCAGCATAAAGAAAAGGACAAATAAGACACATTATGAAACAGTTCTGGATTAAAGGTACCGTTCGGTGAACGATTTCATATGGCAAGCATGTTGTAGGCAAATAAGAGACTTGACATGAGAACACTACAGGGCTGACTCCAGAGGCCACACTATCTTGCTGCTTCTTTAATGCCCATCATTCTTGAGATTCTCTTCCTTTTGACCTCTTGCAGTCACAAACAGGCCCCCCAAGAGATTCTGCAGACACAGTGGCATTGTCTCTACAGTGTAAGTATAGAGACCTCACACGTACTCCAGATCATCACATTTACCATGCCTTGATAAAATATTCACATTGGTGAAGTGGCACAGCAAGCTAATCCTCTGCCTGTGGCTCCAGCATTCCATATGGGTGCTGTTTCTTATTTCAGTTGCTCTGCTTCTAATCTAGTTACTTGTCCATGGCCTGGGAAAGCAGCTGAAGATGGGTCAAGGCCTTGGGCCTTTGAAATTGAAGGAAGACTAATGTAGGTGTAGACTAGAAGAGGCATTCAGATACAGAACTGAGCTGGGTTGTTAAGCATTGCGCGTTGGGCAAGTGGGAGAGTCATGAACAGATGGAAGGGTCTCTCTTTCATTTCTCTGTATGATTTTTTAATTGATTTTCAAGATAATTTTATAATCAAGATTAAAGGTTGGGTATTAAGATAGTTCTGTATGTAACTCACAATGTAATAAATGGTTTTGTGACTGCTTCATTGTTAAATGTAAAACTACGATGTTTGAATCAAAAACTTTACATGAAATCTTGACAAAATTGGACTTTTGTGAATATGCTTGTAGTTTACTTTGAGGTTTGGGTATATGATAAATGTTAAATATTAAATTCAGAATGTTACCATAAAACCGGATCTGCTGATTAAGAAAATGGACTTTTCCCAAGTGGTCTTTTATTATATTTTTAAGAGTTACTATCACTGAGCACAGAGAACAGAATTAGTATTATTTAAGAGAGAAAACAGCAGAGTTCATTTCCAGGGGCAGACTATCAAATCCAAATAGATCTAACACACAACGGTGGTAGCTCAGAAATTCAAAGCTTATTAGAAAACTGTATATTTATTCACGTTTGGTTGGAAGAAGTGGGAGCCACTTTCACAGACAGCATATGGGGATGTGTGTAACCCAGGAAAGATTTGTTGACACTGCAGGGTTGTAATACCACTTCAGAGAGGAAAATTACAAACCGATCACAGATTAGTTTTTCGAAAATTGAGGAGGTCTTGATGGGGTGAGCAAGCATGTGCAAGTTCATGGGGCAAGTCAGGAAGACAAAGGAGGACTTCCTACAGCGCAGGATGGGTTTTCTGTTCTTTATAACTACTATAGCAGATACGCTGTGTAATGCCAACACAAAGCAAAATTAGGGAGCCTAACTTTTATCTTTAGCATTCTCACGTCTTGACTGCCCACTTCCTGTTCTCTCTGCCTGCTGTAACAGACTTCATAAAACACTGATGTCTACTGAAGGTACACGGTCATTTACTGTCCAAATGGGAACAAAGTGTATTTTAACAGGGAACAAAACTTTTATATCCAAAGTGATGAATCTCTTGTAACTGAAACTTCAGGTCAGTAGCTATTTGGAAGACAGTTTCTTGTTGATGTTCTTAGGGGTGGAGAAAATTTCCCAGTGGCCATGGTCTTCCCATGTAAGCAAACTACTTGCTGTGCTTCTAAGGCTAGCACTGGTACTTGATCAAAATGATGTCATTTAACTTCATATTTATTCTTCCTGTTATACTATACTTCCAGGATGGGTGTTGTGGTATAGAGGGTAAAGTCACCACTTGTTTAACAAGCATGCCCTATCACATAGTACTAGTTCAAGCCCTGGCTACCCTATTTTTTTTTTTAAGATCAATTTATTTTTACTGGAAAGTTGGATATACAGAGGGGAGAAACAGAGAGGAAGATCATCCATCCAATGATTTACTTCGCAAGTGGCCACAATGGCCAGAGCTGTGCCAATCTGAAGCCAGGAGCCTCCTCTGGGTCTCCCACGCGGGTGTAGTTGAAGGCATCCTCAACTGCTTTCCCAGGCCACAAGCAGGGAGCTGGATGGGAAGTGGGGTTGCCGGGACTGGAACTGGTGCCCATATGGGATCCTGGCGTGTGCAAGGCGAGGGCTTCAGCCACTAGGCTCCTGCACTGGGCCCACTACTCTACTTCTGATCCAACATTCTGCTTAATGTTCCTGGGCAACTGGAATCTGGTTCATCGCCTAGGTAGCCTAGGTTCTGGCTACCCATGATGCAGAACCAAATGGAGCTCTGGGCTCTTGGCTTGAGCCTGCTCCAGCCTCAGCTGTTGCAGACATTTGGAGAGTGAATCAGAGGATACACAATCTTCATCTCACTCTGCCACTCTTTCAAGCAAACAAACAAATAAATAAATAATAAATCTTTTTTTAAAAAGTCCTTCCAAGATATGAAGCCAGTAATGACAGGATTTCTATTTTTCTACATAATAAAGTGAGAACAGGAAAAACATAGCTGAGAAGTAGCTATATGTTTTTAAAAATATTTATTTTTATTGGAAAGTCGGATTCACAGAAATATCTTTCACCTGTTGATTCACTTCCCAAGTGGCCACAACAGCCCAGAGCTGAGCTGATCCAAAGCCAGGATACAGGATCTCTTTCTGGGTCTCCCACACAGGTGCAGGGTCCCAAGGCCTTGGGCTGTCCTCAACCGCCTTCCTAGGCCACAACACAGAGCTGGATGGGAAGTGGGGTAGCCAGGACACAAACTGGTGCCCATATAGGATCCCAGTGTATGCAAGGTGTGGACTTTAGCTACTAGGTTACTGTGCCAGGCCCAATATTCTTTATAGTTATGTTTTTTTACAGAAATAATTAATTTATTTAAAAGTTACAGAGAGGGACACACACACACACACACACACACACACATACACATAGAGACACAGAGTAATAGAGAAATTTGTCGTTTGCTGGCTCATTCCCCAGATGGCTACAATGGCCAGGGCTGAGCTGGGCTAAAGACAGAAGCCAGGAGCTTTCTCTGGGGTCTCCCTGTGGGTGACTGGGACGCAAGCGCTACTTCTTCCAGGCCATTAATGGGTAGTTGGATTAGAAGTGGAGCAGCTGGGACAGAAATTGACACCATATGGGATGCCGGTGTTATAAGCAATGGTTTTACCTTCTATACTACAGCGCCAGCCCCCTTTTATACAATTATTACATAGTCAAAAACTGGTATTTATCCCCTTAATTGAATTTGAAAGAAAAAGTTAAAAATCTTAATGGCTAGAGCAATGGGAATCTCTTATCTTTGACAAATATTCTCTATTCTTAAGTTCTGAATTTGTTCATGATCCTAGTTAAACAACTTAAAAATCAGTGAAATCTCTTAGGCTGCAAACTACGAGGTTACTTCTAAAGTTTCTGGATAATGGAATTAAAGGTGAGTCTATTTTGATGCAAAAGTTTTTTTTAGACCCATGCAAATGAGAAAGCAAGAAAACCTAGAGAAAACCTAAATCTTAAGAAATAGCAAATGACATTAAATTTCAGTTTTCATTCTTCCTGACAGCAAGAGTTACTATTTTACTTGTACATAAAATAAGACTTACAATATAATTACAAAAGTAAAAACAAAACAAAACAAAACAAAAAAGAGGAATGGCTAAAGGCATGAAATGTTTTGAAAAACAAAAATAATCACTTGTCTTAGAATATTTTAGAGAAAAACTCGATGTGATGGTTTTCATGAAGTTCAAAGTAATTTGCTTGTCTTGTAAATTACCCACCAGCCCCTTTACATGATACTAATTTCTATCTAGAGAAGAGAATGGCTTAAACAGGATGTTCTATTATTAAACAGTATTCTAATTTTTTTTTTTTTGCTTAACAATAATAGCACAATATGATGTTTTAGGAATGACTGGTCAGAAGAAATACTACTGATTGCATGAACAAATATCTCTTTCTATATTTTTCACTACAAATCAGTAGTGAAAAACGGCATTCGCTGTTTCCAACCATCTTGCAGTGACATAATGGCTGGCCCGAGAGTTCTGTGATTGCTAAGCAAGTTACAATGCTCACCACCCTCTCCGTTCTGCCAGGCCTCTCCACAGCGAATCTGTCCGGACCATTCTCTCGATGAGTTTCTTCCATAACATGCCGTCAGATGTCACTCGGTACCACTCCTTGCACACAAGTTCAGCAGCACATAATGATTTGGCATCCAGGTATGACAGAATATTCTCAGCAATATGATCCAAACCCCGAGCTTTTGGTGGTGGGAGGAGGGGAAAAAAAGCGCGAAAAAACAAAAAACGGGATGGTGAATGATTTTTTCACAAAAGGTCCTTTAAAACAGAATAGCATTTGTTCTGTTACAAAGGCATATCATTGTCCCTAGTGTAGTCCAGTTGCCTTTTCAAACAGAGGCTTGGGTAAAATGAGTGTCAATAATTTTTCCATAAGGTTACAGAAATGAACAGTATTTTCCATCTTCCTTTAGATAAGGAAGTTAGAGTTAACAACCAGCAAACCCCCCAAGACATTAAAAATAAAAAGGATTCCAGAAAACAATTCACATCTATCTATATGGATTTCAACACTAGGGGATGTTCCATGGATGGCATCTCAAACTCTGTGATTCAGACCCCCCCAAATCTCTATATTAGGTCCATTTCTCATTCTGTTTCTATTACTGCTGCAGTTCCAAAGCTATTCAGTCAAAGAAATACCCTTTAAATGTACTGGGAGAGCAGCACTAAGTCAGAACGTGCTGGGTTATAGAATTTGGGGAATGCAGAAAGGAAGAGAAGAAGGAATTACAGATTGATGTAAGAACATCCCAAGAGGAAGGACACTGAGGAATGCTTAAGTTCAAGGATGAGTTTAATTTCAGATGCTTTAAAGAAATACAAAAAAACAAAAAACTGTGTATGAGAATAGCTGCTGCCATAAACCTAAATGATGACAGCTGACCAAAAATGGAGAAGAAAAAAAAAAAAAGCTAGACTATCAGCAAGTTGGCAAGAATTTTAGAGGGTATTTCGTAGGATATGAAGAGGAAGACAGTTAAGATAAGATCTTGGGCTGTCTAGATCTGATGGTCACCCAACTCTGTACTGGAGTCTCAGTGGTAAAGATCCTACAAGACAGAAGAATGGCATTAAGAAAACTTTGTGCTGCTGTTCTAAATTCACAAATGAGACAAAAACATTCAAGGTTATTTCTCTTCACAGATTATGTGTCAGTTTTTCTAAAAGCTTTTGAGAAGAATTCCATTACACCCTGGGTGTAGTTGACACAAATGGTTTAACAAATAACTGAGTACCACACGTCATTTTGTGCCTTTTCCCAAATCATACACACACTTGGACGTGATCTGCAACAATCCAAACACGTTTAAACATTTTTCTAATTATAAAGACTGTATAGATATCAGTCACAGTTTCTAACAGACTTGGGATAGAAGACATTAAATAGATGCTGTTCAGCTGGCATCACATGTTCATATTTAAGCACAAGCATATGGAGGCATCCATCACCTACTTTGTATTGAAGAACATAATGATAAGCCAACTGCAGTTATAGTATTTAATACTTCATGTAAAATACAGTGATGGTACAATTCCTGAATTTGTATACCTAAAGTTTCTATACTATCACGGGTTGCCAAACTGCATGCCGGCGTTTTTAATGGTTGACATCAAATTGTTCCTGATCATTTACTATGTACCTGTAAGTCTTTGGAAGTAATTTCACCTAACACCGTAAACAAAACCATTACATTAATGGATTAGAGGCATTTCTGAAGCAGATAGTTTACTAAATGTAGCCAGATGGTGTAGGTTTATAAGTTCAAATGTCTGTAAAGCATGAGACTGATGATTTAAAACCTCACTGAGTGGACAGTAGATACGCTGTAGAGATCGGTATTGAACAAACAATACGCAGGTCTCATCACCTCCTGTGCTGTAAGCTTGAGAAAGCAGCATTTCTCAGCGCGTGGGGAAAGGCAGCAATGAGGTATACTCACACTATTTGCCTGTGGCTCCAACAAAAGCCAACACATGAAGAGGGGGTAAAAATCGATTTAACAAAAGACACAGGTAAAATTCAGTTTTAAGAAGTTATTTTCAAGATATAAATAGGATAAGCTTGCATTTTCCTACAGTAGCTTTTCTCCCAAATGCTGGTAACTTTGGAGTGTTCTAGAATACCAGTAAGCATTCAGAAAAATCACAGCATTCTCCAAAAAAATATTTATGTACCATTTACATAAAGGCTTCTAAGTATACACATGAACATGTCATGAAATTAGGGAACATGTTATAACCAGGTAACACCTCAGCAAAAGTTTTACTTAGTCCCATGTGAGAGTAAAAACAGAGAATAGAGGGTATGAGATTAAAAAAAAAAGAAAGAAAAGGAAAGGCAAAGGAGGAGTCTTTGCGAGCTAAATTTTAAAATTTCTACAAAGAAGGATGTAATTTGTGAATCTATGGCAAAAAACAAACAAACAAAAAAATTCCAAAAGGACTTTAAAAGATATTTATTTTTATTCTAAAGTTAGATTTACAGAGAGAAAGATCCTCCATCCCTGGTTCACTTCCCAAGTGGCCGCAAGGACCACAGCTGAATTGATCTGAAGCCAGGAGCCAGATCAAACCAGATCTACATGGTTGCAGGGTCCCAAGGTTTTGGGCCATTCTCTATTGTTTTCCCAGGCCACAAGCAAGGAGCTGGAAGGGAAGTGGAGCAGCCAGGATATGAGATGGTACACATACAAGATTCTGATGCATGCAAGGCGAGGACTTTAGCCACTGTGCTACCATGCCGGGCTTCCAAAAGGATTTTTAAAAGAGAGATGTATGGATGGACACTCAACCTACCAATTAAGATGCCTATGTCCCATATAAAAGTGCCTGGATTCAAGTTGTAGTTCTGGTACTAACTGGAGTTCCTGCTAATGCAGACCCTGGGAGCAATCACGATCACACAGGAAGTTGGCTTCTTGCCATCCATATTTGAGATCTGGGTTGAGTTCCTGCCTCTTGGTGTTGGCCCGGCAAAGCCTCCACAGTTGTGGACATTTGAGGAGTGAAATAGTGGATGGGAGCTCTGTCCCTCTGCCTCCAAAGAAATAAAAAGTGGCCTTCACTAAGAATAGAAATGTGCAGCTAAAAATCCAGTTCTGTTACCATTAAACATGTTTACAAATACACATAAACAAATGCATACAAACACATATGCACACAAAAACAAACATAGGCTTACCTGGCAAAGCAGTTATAAAATCTCTTTGCAACATAGGTTTCAGATACGAGTTTATGTGCCCATGTTGGTAGTGACACATTTGGGATATAAGATGTTCCACAAATTCCACTTGATCGGACTCTGACCACTGCTCAAAATACTTTACACAAAGTTCCTTTTCCTTCTCATAGCTTGCTGAGAGTTTCCGCTGCTTGGGTACAATCATACTGGAAGTGCCATTGGCAAGTTTTGTCTGTGGAAAGTGGAGATGAAAAGAAACATGGTAAGTATAGACAAAGAGAAAAATATTAATTATCTCCTGTGGCATTAATGGGGCCTTGAACTGGTGTTCATTTGGGATGCCAGTATTTCAGGCAGTGTTTTAACATACTATACCTGAACACTGCACCCTATGTCTACCTGACAATGCCCACTTGTACTCTGTTAGTAATTAGCTATTTGCAAAAAGCAATTATAGAAATATCACAGTATGTTGGTTAGGCAGGTATACAGCCGGAAGGCTAAAGTTCACAGGAAGACATTCTTGCTATCTGGAAATATACAGAAGAGAACTGAAAACACAGTGTTAATCCTAGCAAGCAAAAAGCAAATCTACCTCTTATATACTTCAGCAGCTGGACATTTAGATAGTTGCTTTCAGAATCCTTTCCATGCAAAGGTCAATGAATATTTTCAGACAGTGAATACTTTCAATGAATATTTTCAGTGTACGGAATACACTGTGATACTTCAAGAGACACAAAACTTAAGTAACAATGATCTACTTTTTATCTTCCCCAAATCTTGTCTCTGTATTCATTAAATTACATGCTATAACATTATTTATATTAATTGGATCAGCAATTGGAAGCAATGTCCTTCTTGCTGCCTGTGAAAATTACTTTTTAAGATTCATTTACTAATTATTGGAAAGTCAGATTTATAGAGAGGAGAGACAGATGAGCTTCTATCCACTGGTTTTCTTCCCAAGTGGCTGCAACAGCCGAAGCCAGGAACTAGGTGCTTTTTCCAGGTCTCCCAGTGGGTGCAGGGTTCCAAGGCTTTGGGCTGTCCTCTACTGCTTTTTTAGGCCACAAACAGGGAGCTGGAAGGGAAGTGGAGCAGCCGGGATACAAATCAGTTCCCATATGGGATTCTGGCGCAAGCAAGGCAAGGACTTGGCTACATAGAACCAGGCCCCAAAAATAAATTTTTGAAAAATATAAACACAATATGAATAATGCCACAAAGAACAAAAAGGGTAGGAGGGAAAAAAAGTGTATGTTTCTATGGTGGACAAATTCACAGCCCCTGCTGAATACATATGTTCTTTCACTTAATCAAACACACATAATGTAGGCACTGCTGTGATTAAAAAAGAACCCCAAGCAGCTTAAGCCGGGGAGATTACTCAGGTGAATCAACCTAACCACAGCAGGCTTTTAAAGGTGCAGTTTTCTCCCACTGCTTGCAGGAGAGGAATAGGGCTAACAGCAAGGAATGTGCTCTGTCTGGAGGGGCTGGGCAGTCCCTGGCCCCTAGGCAGTACAGGAAAATGGCTCTCAGCCCTGCACTGACAAAATGTCCAACCCCAGAGCCCTGGCTGATTCCAGTCCTTGGTACCAAGAGCAGAAGAGCAGTCACACAATCTCTGACTTCTGAGCTACAGACGTAGAATATAATCATATAATATGACCATATGGGTCTAAGTGGTCATGAGCTGGCATTTGAATTGGATACAAAGACAGGAGAGACTTCAGCATTGCTACACGGGGGAGGAACAGTTTAGACAACAGGAGTTGTGAGGGCAAAGGTCCAGGGTGCCAGTCTGTCTGGCAATCCCATGAAACAGAGTGCCTGCTGGAGCTGGAATCAGGGAGCAAACAAAATTAAGTCTGGAGAAGTAGACCAGGCCACATCATCCCAGTGGTGGCAGCTAATTCCAAAGATTGCCCCCAAGCAAAAAGTCCTGATGACTGTCCGGCTGTGAAGGGGTGGGAGTTAGGCCCTATCCTTTTAATCTAGGCTTTTACCTACAGAATGTGGAAGTCACATGAAGGGATTCTAAGACCAGGCAGCTTCTGTTTATTTCCTCCTACAGCCCTGAGACATGACGGAAAACATTCAGGTTACCCTGCTGGAAAGAGGCAGAGAAGTCTGAAGGATAAGAAGCTTTGGGGGTAGAAGGGTGGGGAAAGGAGAGGGGAAGCTTCAGAGTGATGCAGTCTGATGCCTTTTAAAAGGACCACTGCTGTACAGAGAACAGATCATAGGGCTCACAAATGGAAACAAGGAGGCCAACTGAAATATGTTCCCATGGTCTATAAAAGATGACAGTCTTCTGGACTTCAGGGGTAGCTACAGAGGTGGTGGGAAACAACTGACAGCAGTGGATAAACTGAAGGCAGATCCAATTGGATTTCCTGATATGAGTGGAAAAAACAGAGCGGAGGGAGAATTATAACCAAGTCTGAAGCTGACAGAATATTGAGAAATCAGGAGAACTTGTTTGAATTTTATAGTACAATTTTGTAGAGACCAAGATTCCCCCACCCCAACAGATTTTCTCCTCATTGCTACAATAGTATAGTCCTTCATAGGGAGTCATGCTTCCATCAGTCTGTTATTTAAGTGTGGCCCGACACTGCTGATACAGACAGTGTATGTCAGACAGTCTAGCATCCAATTGTCTACACATTTCCAACAGTTTCATTGGGAGTCCATCTTTGATTTGGGACAGGGATGCATATGCACTGTATTCCCATCTGGATATGGTAGTCTCTATTACTCCATCACTATACATTCCCATTAACGAGAAGCCATGAAATAAGGTAAACAACCAGTATGAATTAGAACAACAACAACTGGGTACTTTTGAAAGTGATGTGATGGATCTTGGGTATATTTACTTGGCCCTAATTTGGTTCATTTTTGCCTATATGTAATGAAAGTGCCACAAAACTGTATCAAATCTGGAAAATCTATTTCTGCTAATTAAGGCACAGGCTGGCTACAGTATCTAATATCAAATCCAATCTGTATTTTTTTTTTTTTAACACAAATGGTTTCCAATACACAGTTGAATGTATACTCTCAAGAATGGTGTTAGGCCATTTGTCTTGACACAGAAAGAGCTGACACCTGTAAACAGTAAGTCCTGGTATGCAGCGCTGGAGATTTCCTGGAATAAATGCCACTGTTGTCTGTGATAGCGACTAAAAATGATTAATAAGAACCTTGTTGGACACAGGCCTCAGGGGACACCAGGATGCTTTTTGTGTAGGTTATTTGTTTGCATCTCAGAAAAGGAAAACTCATGAAATGTGGAGTGAGATTTTAGAGAGTTAACAAATAGGTGGGCTTGCAAGCTTGACCAAATGCCACTCTCAGCCCTGCAAGGAAAACCTCTCACTCCACCATCTTTCATGTATTTGCTGTTTGGCTTTTAAAGGGTGGAAATAGACTCAGGCTCCCCCCACCCCCCAGAGTACTGTCTTCAGGATATAGATCAGCAGGCTAAGTACCAGAGAAGAATGCTCAGCACCTTAATGAGGGGATTCCATTTATACTTTACATAAACTAGACGTTGGTTTATGCTCATGAGGTTGTCACCCTTTGATCAGTGGCTGTCCAGGTCAGACCCAACAAGCTTGGTTATCCTTCTGGAAGAGCTAAGGGTCAGTCAAAACTTCCTGGTGGCATTCACAGAATAAGGGACGTTTGCTTTTAGAAGTGAAGTCTAAACTGTGATTTCACATATTTGCTATTCGAGGTGGTATTACATCTTAGTCACCACTCCTCCAGAATACCTCCTTTGAGTATCTGATAGCCACTATGACTTCCAATGAGTTACTCTTAGCCCCTACTTCATATTGTATTATTTTCAAAGTCTTGGAGTAAAAAGAACTGATTTCAAATTTACCTCAATTTACCAAGTGACAAGCAATTGATAACTTTATATTTCTGAAACATCTATAAGATGGGGATATTAATAAAAGATTTCATTGGATTTTTTGTTTTTATTGGAATTTATAAGGTTCAAATAAAAATATGCCATGAAAAAAGCATGCTTCATATACTAGCATGTATACTGTGAGTACCCAATAAATGAACACACTTAATGAACTTATGACACTATTGGAGTTGTATGTTCCTCCTTTTGGAAAACATACTCTTCCTTACTACATAATCCATGTTTTACTTTAATTATCAATGAATATCCATTAACGTGAACTTTGTGAACGCATCCATCTGTGGAAGAGCTCACATGTCTCCTCTGTGTTCCTCTGAGCGTAGCCAGCTTCCCTAAGAGTAATCACTACAACTTATTTCACTTTAAAACTATATTTTTGGGGCCCGGCGCAATGGCCTAGCAGCTAAACCCTGAACACGCTGGCGGGATCCCATATGGGCGCCAGTTCTAATCCCGGCAGCTCCGCTTCCCATCCAGCTTCCTGCTTGTGGCCTGGGAGAGCAGTCGAGGTTGGCCCTAAGCTTTGGGGCCTTGCTCCTGCGTTGGAGACCTGAAGAGGTTCCTGGTTCCCGGCTTCGGATTGGCGCAGAACCAGCCGTTACGGTCACTTGGGGAGTGAATCATTGGACAGAAGATCTTCCTTTCTCTCTCTCCTCTTCTCTGTATATCTGGCTTTGTAATAATAAATAAATCTTTTTAAAAAACTATATTTTTGAGGTAGAAAAGAAGAGGAAGAGAAAGAGTGCGTATACGTGTGTGAACACTCCAGAGGTATGATCAGATCTGCTTGCTTACATCTGGAGAGTGAACCCAGGACCTGCAGCCCTCACCGCGGCCTCCCAGGGAGTGCCCAGGCAGGGAGCTGAGGTCAGGAGCTGGAGCTTGGATTCAAACCCAGGTACTCTGCTAAGACTGCTAAACTCAACATTTGCTCTTCTTGTTTCTTTTTTTTTTTCCCTTTTTTAAGGTTCAGTCTTAAAAATCATCTGCCTATAAAACTCACAGTAGCAGTAAAGAACACAAAATACTTGAGAATAAATGACAAGATATGTGTAATACCTGCAAAATTTAAAATATTGCTAAGGGATATTTCAGAAAGATTTAGATGAACACTGCTGAGTTGTTCATTCCTTTTGAATATATTTAGAGAGTTAGCACAACTAAATCAAAATCCCAGAGGTGACAATACTGAATTTCACGATATGCAATACTAATTAAGACTGTTGTGACTTGATATGAGAAATAAGAGCAGATCTGTGGAACAAAATATAGAGTCCAGAAACATCCTCACATATGACTAATTTTTGAGAAAGGAGATGATAGGGAAATGAAGGTCATCTCAACAACTCATGCTGAAACAACTGGATATCTACAGAGAAAAAAATGGATCTTGTTTCCTATCTCAAACCACATATAAATATGAACTTAAGTGTGTCCTGAACTTATACAACCAAAACTTCCAGAAGAAAGCAAATAAGAAGATTTTGGAGGCCTTGGATTGGCAAATATTTTATAAGTATGGCACAAAAGGATATTACCATTTTTTGATAAAAGGAAAAAAGTTGATGACTTTTTTTGGCAAGAATGAAGCACAACTGGCTCTATCTTACATTGTTGGCAGTAATGTTTAATGGTACAACCAGCTTTGGAAAACAGGTTGATAATTTTGTGCTAATATGAAATGTAATCTTACCATGACCCAGCAATTCCACTTTAGGTATTTACCCACCTAAAATGAAATATAGTGCCACACAAAACCTTGTACATCAATATGCATGACTCCTTTATTCATAACAATCCTAAATTACAGAAGCCTAAATGCTCACAAGAGACGAACTGTGATATATAAACACAACAAAATAGTAGGTAGAAATAAAAGATGAACAACACATATACAAAATGACAGAATGAATCTCAAAAACATGATGAATAAAAGAAGCCAGGCAGAAAAGACTACATATTGTATGGTTGTACTTATGAGAAACTTAAGGAACAAAGAATTTAATTTTTAATTATAAAAATAAAAATAAGGCAGTGGTTACCTGGAGCTAGGTGTGGGGATGGGTATGATTAGGAAGCGGCACAAGGGATCTTTTGGTACAATAAAAAACCCCATCTTCATTATTATAAAGTGTATTCAATTGTCAAAATCCATTGTATGCAAATTATATCTTGATAACGTTGACTTTAAAAAGCTTCTAATGATAGAAGAGTATTCATAAAGAGAAATGGCACTGTTCTTCTGATTTCAACTGTAGCAAAGATGTTAAATTTGTAGGAACCCGACAAAAGCCTTTGTTTTCAAGCCTGTTCCCTGTACTATCCTCTCATACAGATTCTTCTGTAAATGTAGCAAAATTTCAATTTAAGAACCTCTGAAAATCCACAAGGGTACAGTGAAGAGGTTCAATATTAAAAAACCAAAAGGGCTGTATATTAGAGCTTATGGGAGACAGGGTAATGGTTACTGGTGTTAGTAGCATTGATTTGACTTCCCCAGCAAAAGCCTGATGACTCAAACACTACTGCTCAAATGTCTAAGAAAGCTGACAAACAGCCTCAGTTAAATGGTAACACTAACTTTCTGCCACCACTGCACATCTCTTCTGTCTTTCTGTTTACAGTAAACTGCTGTCTCCAAAAGAAGAAAGAAGCTGCCAAGTGACAAGCACACAAAATGTTAAGTATTTAAAGGACCACCCTCAAGTATTCAAAGGGCCATCCTAGGAGCTGACATTATTATCACCTCCAAATTTATCATGGATTTCTTAAAAGCTGCAGCCCAGGTCACGAGAGAAAAACAGACCCTTGCAGACGCTGACTGACCCAACCACCACCACTACGCTATTAAATGTGCCAACTTGCTAGCTGTAGTGTACCACAGCGGGAAAATACAGCAATGCTAGTGAAATCTGATGTATAAGATGACAGGTGCTTCTGGTTGGCCGTCTTCTAAGAACACTGATTTTGAGGAAAAGCTCTGGCATAGTAAACTGAAGTAAAACGGGAAGTGATCATTAAGATGGTGAATTAAATTAAGAATAAAACAGACAACGGCTATAACCTAGGAGGGACAGAACAATTCTGACTAAGCCTGAACTTTAGACTTGTCAAGCAACCAACAACAACAATAAAAAAATCTCAAAATCTTATTGCTTTGAAAGACAGTTACACAGAGAGAAGAACCAGAGATCATCCATCCACTGGTTCATTTCCCTATAGGCCAGGGGTTCTTTGGCCATCTTCCATTGCTTTTCCAAGTACATTTGCAGGAAGGTAGATCAGAAATGGAGCGGCTTGATTTGATGCCAGTGGCATAATAACCTGTTGTACCACAGCACCAGGCCCTCCTTGAGATTTTGTCAAGTACTTCATCTGTGCCTTAGAAACATTTACACTGGGCCTGACACCATAGCCTAGTAACTGAAATCCTCGGTTTGCACGTGCCAGGATCCCATATGGGCACCAGTTCTTCCCATCCAGCTCCCTGCTTGTGAGCCTAGGAAAGTAGCCGAGGAAGACCCAGAGTCTTGGGACTCTGCACCGTGTGGGAGATCTGGAAGGAACTCCTGGCTCTTGGCTTTGGATTGGCTCAGCTCTGGTTGTTGTAGCCATTTGGGGAATGAACCAGCAGATGGAAAATCTTTCTATCTCTCTTCCTCTCTGTAAAACAACGATTGTTTCTTGGGGCCTGCAGTGCCAGGATCCCATTTGGGCGCAAGTTGCTCTACTTCCAGGTCCCTGGAAAAGTGCCTGAAAAAGCATGGGAGATGATCTAGGTGCCTGGTACCAAGTACTTATATGGGAGACTCTGAAAAAGCTCCCGGCTCCTGGCTCCGGCCTGGTCCAACTCTGGTTGCTGTGGCCTCTGCGAAGTGGTCCAGTGGACAAGATTTCCCTTTCTCTCCTCTGTCTGTAACTCTGTGTTTCAAATGAATTTTTTTTTTTTGCTTTTTACAAGAAGGATTGTTAACTATTAGCAGTCAAGTTTTGGGTTCTTCAACTTTGTAACTTTCAGGGAACAAGATATATTCCATTATCTTTATTGGGTTAAAATGGAGAGTGGGAGATCAAATGAAAAAAAAAAAAAAGGTGGTTACATGCATTGAATCGGACACATATTTTAGCAGAAGTAATTCTTACATTCTTCAGTGAAATATTGCATAAATATTTTAACAGCCCCTACTAAATATGATTACATATTAGGTGAACTCATAAATACGTCAGATCTGATTAGTGAATGTGAAAGACAGGAAGGGACAGATTTGTCAGCAGAAGGAAAGTTAACATGAATCTGACCAATTTCTAATAACTAACAAGGAAAAGATTGCAATCTTGCCAATTATTTTAAATAAAACTAGAAAATGAACTCACCAAGTTACAGTGTACATGATTATTTAAAAACCACACATTTAATAATCTTTTTTTCTCCTGTTTACTAACTTTAGGCAAAGCCATAGAAGAATGTACCAAAATCAAAATAAAGACATTTTTATGATTTCCTGATTTTTTATATAGAGGGACAGGATAGTTGACAAGTTTTAGATTTCAAACTTCTGTTTGTTTTAGTGGGCCTCCCTTCTGCAACTTTATAGCTTTCAGGGCGATAGGCTCTTTTGTTCTAAACGAAGAAACTCACACAGTGGTTTAATTTACTGCTGCATCATTACAGCTACTAACTACACATACCTCCAAGGCTGGTAAACCCACTGATGTAGACAGTGCCACCTTAAAAGGGTTTTTGGATAGGTCCTGGTGATGGGGTGGCAGCGGGGTGGGGGTAGGGGGAAGAGGACATAATGTTTAATTATAAGAAATGATTGAAACAGGCACAGGCATACCCCGGGTGCCTCTGCACTGCAGCAGGCTCTAAACTTGTTATCGTTAATGGTTTAAATTTCACTGTGCTAATCATTTCAGGACACAAGCCTTTCTTGATAATCTAATGAATTATTCCAACATCCTTCAGCAGAAAAAAAATCCTCCATGACAGCACTAATTACAAGACGTTTTCCCAGTGCTTATGTAAAATATGACAGAGCAGCAGCTCAGGGAATTGCAGAAAACTGCTTCTAATTTCCACTGAGAAACTGACAAACACCTCTCTTTCATCTCTCCCAGCTCTCAAGTAAGATTTAACTTTCTCATTTAGTTAATTACCGAGTGAGGATCATCATTTCCCCGGATCGGAGCGGCACAGAGCCTTTATCGTGTTAACTTGTGAACTTGATCGATGGCTGCTGCTAAAACTTAATAACTTCACCCCCTGGCAAATTGTAAGATAAATATAATAGGAGAAACTCTGACAGTAAAAACCTGCCAGAAATGAGTGCTGTGTTTATGTTTCTTTGCAGGCAGCAAAAAAACAACCGACAGCTTATTACTGGGTGCGTGTTACTTATATTTAAAAGACTCCAGGCAGTTAACTTTCTATATACTGCTAAAACTTCACTCACAAGATGGCAAAAAAGGGGGGGGGGGGAAGCACTAGTGACGTAGAGGAAGGGAAGTGAGAGGGCAACATACAAATCACGCAAAATCTTTCAAAGTATCCTATTTACCATATAAATATCCAACCAACATACATAGGACTAGAATCCTTTATTTTAAATAATAATTCTAAACTTCAAAGACATTTATGAACTATAACTTGGAGCAAAGCAAGAGAAATTTTGCTAATTCAGATTTGTTCACTGACTATAGGTCTGTGCCTGAAGAATTCAATTAAGTGAAGAATTCCTAGTTCTCTTTTCAAATACCCCTGCAGCTAGAAAACCATTCACCATCTATGTCACTTAACTCTTTGTGAAACAATGTGTACACTAAAGATAGGAAATTAGTGACCTAGTCTAGAATACATCATTTAGTTTTTTTTTTTTCTTTTAAACATAGAAGGCTTTATTTGGGGGGACGCGGGATCTAGTCAAACAGGCTGAACTCCATGTCATCGTCTGACTCCTCCAACTCTTCCTTTTTTCCCTCTTTCTCTTCTGCTGCTGCGGGGGCCGCACCAGCAGCTGGGGCTGCGGATCCCAGGGCAGCAGACACGGGCGCAGCCCCACCAGCGGGCACACTGGCCAGCTTGCCAATGCCCTGGGCGATTACATCCTCGATGTTCTTGCCAGTGAGCTCACTGACGACCTTGTTGAGCCTCTCGTTGTCTGCCTTGATGCCCACACTGTCCAGGATCTTTCTGATGTCCTTGGCGCTGGGCAACGCATTGCCCCCAATACGGCCAGCAGGCAGGAGGCAGCGTAGCTCATGTCGGCGGCCACCTTCCCTGCGTCCCTTGTGCGTCCTCGGAGCCGTCCGTGGCGGAAAACCCCATCGTTTAGTTTTACATTCAATTTCCACTCCTACTAGTTAACTGACCAAAAAGTTGTCCAACGCTCCAGCTGTTGTAGCCATTTGGGGGAGTGAACCAGTGGATGAAAGATTTTTCTGGCTCTCCTTCTTTCCTTAAATCTGATCTGCCTTTCCAAGGAAAACATATCAATTATTTTTTTTAAGTAGCCCATTTCCTTTAGTCAAAGCTGGCTAAGCTTGGAATTTTTTTTTAAAAAGATTTATTTGTTTTTATTGCAAAGTCAGATATACAGAGAGGAGGAGAGACAGAGAAGATCTTCCCTCTGATGATTCACTCCCCAAATGACCACACTGGCCAGTACTGCGCCGATTTGAAGCCAGGAGCCAGGAACTTCCTCTGGGTCTCCCACTCTGGTGCAGGGTCCCAAGGCTTTGGGCCGACAGCTTTCCCAGGCTACAGGCAAGGAGAGCTGGATGGGAAGTGGGGCTGCCAGGATTAGAACCCCGGGCCTGTACGGGACCCCGGTGCACTCAATGCGAGGACCTTAGCCGCTAGGCCACCACGCCAGGCCCCGAGCTTGGAATTTTAATGTTATCACAGCCTTGTATAAATAGCAGAACCAAGGATGACAGAGAAGGGACAGCTATAGCAGAAGCACTTGCTCACTATCACCTGATCCCTTCCACCCCACTGCCTGGTAACAGGGCTGAGAACTAATTTGTATATAAACTGCCAAGTCTACCAGATGATCCTAGAAAATAAAATCTAAACTAATTTTTGGGGAAGATAAGAGAAACACAGGTAAGATGTTAAAGGATTTAGGAAGCTAAGCCTCATCGGTGGCCTCATTCAGCACCCAGCACATTCTCTGGGGGTGGCAATGAAAGCTTCATGCTGCAGTCCAAAGGGCCACTGTTACAAAAGTTGAAAGGATTTGAAAAGGTACACATTCAAACAAATTAATTTTTACTAGAGGATAAAATCTTTGCTTTTTCTTTTTTATTACATTGAGATCTATTGGGGGGGGGCAAGCAAAGAAAGAATAGTATTTTTAAACCATATTGATACCAGACACATTTTAGAAAATATGAAAAAAAAAAAAGAACAGAAAAACTGCCCATGACTTGTATTACCAACAACATTCACACTGTGGGTATATGCACATGTGTATATATATATATATATACATATATATATACATATATATATACATATACATATATATACACATATATATATACACACATATATATTTCTGGCCTTTAAAGCACCTAATGTATGTGAGGAGGAAAGGGTGTTTCTGTACCATCTAGGAGAATCTCTGTCAGCAATATCAAACTAATCGGACAGGAAAAATTAATCTCCCTTGCTGAATAGCTAGAAGCCATGATCTTGGAAGACAGAGACTCACACAAGTCATGGCCATTGCAGAAAGGATCAGAAGAGCAAAAGGAAGAGGGAAGGGGAAAAGCAAAGGACCAGGAAGGAGAGGAGCTGGACAGGGAGGAAGAAGGGAGGACCGGCTCCGGCTGGGAGAGAGGGGGGAGTGAAGCGACAAGTGAAAGGGAATTAGGGAGAGAAGGAGAGGGCAAAGGAGGGGGAAGGGAGCAAGCAGGTACACGGGGAAGGGGAGAGATGAAATGGGGCTAAGCGGGATACAAGGAGAAAGGAAGGAATATAACCCAAAGCATCTAAGAGGAGTAATGTGCTTGTTGGACAAAGAGGTCTGCTCCCACACAGTAAACAATAAACATCAAAAGGGAGAGGAGATGAAAAACTATTTTTTTTAAGCCATGACCTAATGTTTCTAGCAGAGTAATAATGTTTAATTGCCTGGAATCGGGTTGTTTTTTTCTGAATAACTTCCTCTGAAGTCAGCGTAGTTGAATGATATTAATATTACCAACACAAAATTTCTGTTAAACTAAGAGTCTTCATCCCAGCTTCCCCCTCATCCTCCCTTTGTTTATCACAAGAAAGCTAGGCTTTACCATAAATAACAGGAAATGATGGAGGCACTGCTTGCCAGAGGAAAACAAAGACACACAATTAAGACACAATTAAAAGGTACCCAGGAAAAATATAGTCACTTTAAATTAAAACAAAATAAAACAAAGCAAAACTTGTCCCTCTCTTCTTTGCCTAATCCTTACAATTTTATGTTTTATGACCACATTTCAAGGACTTGGTAGAACTTGTTCCTGAAGAAAGCTTTAGGTAAAACCTGGATTAGGAAAATATAAGTTTTAGAGGATAGGAACTCAAGAAGCCAACTCAGCTTTCTAGAAGAAATTCAACTCTTCCCAAATGCTTGTTAATGCATGTTAAATGCAGCAAGAAATAATCCTATGAGGCAGCAGCACAGGCCTCTCTTAGCTGCAGTGAATGAAGTAAATGACTTGTAACTTCTGGAAGTCTTGGTTATCTGCAGGTAAAACTTTAATAACCCTTGGAACATCAAGGGACTAAAGACATTTCTCTCTGGAATACTTTGGTAATTGTTTTCTTAATTTATCCAGGAAAAGCTTAGTGTGCATGCAGCATCTGTGTTTTTTTTTTTTTTTTTAACTGAGGCGATCAAAATAACTTTAGGAGATTCAGATAAATTAGAAGAATTCAGATTAAACTTCACAAAGTAGTTGTTACATAAACAGTTCAGCTTGTCTAAAATGAAATTACAATCCTTTTTTTTAAATGACAATGAATGGGGCCGGGCTCGATAGTGTAGTGGTTAAAGTCCTCACCTTGAACGCACCAGGATTCCATATGGGCACCAGTTCTAACTCTGGCAGCCCCCGTTCCCATCCAGCTCCCTGCTTGTGGCCTGGAGAAGCAGTTGAGGAAGGCCCAAAGCCTTGGGACCCTGTACCTGTGTGGGAGACCTGGAAGAGCTTCTGGATCCTGGCTTCAGATTTGCTCAGCTCCAGCCATTGTGGCTGCTTGGGGTGTGAACCATCAGACGGAAGATTTTTCTCTCTGTCTCTCCTCCTCTCTGTATATTTGACTTTACAATAAAAATAAATAAATCTTTTTTTTTTTTAAAGAAGCAACCTGCTTGAAAATCCATTTTGAAAAAAAAATGACAATGAATAAACTCCAAGTCAATGAATAAAGTAAATGTAAAATGCCAAGACTGCTTTGTATAGATGCAGAAATGCTCTTCTACAGCACAACGCCACACACACAGAGATGTTTCATCCATTGGTCTTGCCAGTCCAAAGCCAGGAGTTTCCTCCTCCAGTGTCTCCCACCTGTGTTCAGTTGCTCAAGGACTTGGGTTCTCTTCCACTGCCTTCCCAGGTTATTAGCATGGAGCTGAATCAGAAGTAGAATAGATTATTTAGGCCAGTAGAGGATGAGTGCTTCATCAGAGGATGGAAACCAGAACAAGCTGGACTACTCTCCTGGCCAAGCTTTGCAACATGTTCCTTGACCCGAGGATGCACTAAGGTGGACTTGGTCAGCCAACAGACCTTGGAAAAATTTTCTCAAACCTGGTGCAATGAGGATCAGAATTATCAAAACCACTTAAGTAACATCCTTGGAACTCTCTTCCCCACTTTGGGGCTCAAAAGCATCATCAAATGCCCAGCCCTGGGTGCTGATGTAGTTTGACAAAAAAGAGTGGCACTCTCCACTTAAATCCCTGCAGACACAGGAGAGAAAAAGATTGAAACGCTTGTCCCCCACCTTCCTCCATGCTTTAATTTTCCCCGTCTTAACCACAGACTCACATGTGCATACATTCCTCTCAACTATGTAAACAATATTAAAAATAAAGTAAAATAATTTTTAAAAAACAAGGGGAGCAGCCAGGACACAAACTGTCACCAATGAGATGCCGGCACCACAGGCAGCCCACTACACCATGGTGCCAGCTTCAGAGAAATGCATTTCCATAACATAAAGGGGTTATGTGATCACTAAGACCACAGTGTCATCCTGAAGAAATGTCTTTCTGAAGAATCAGAATAAAGTAAAATGTAACCATCATAATTAGGCACTGACTGTACCTCATATCTACCGTTTGCTTAAATGGTCAAATTACTTAAGTTCTCTGTTCCTCAAATTCTTCACCCATAAATTGGTGATATTCATGTATGTATCTGGAAGGATCAGTGTTAAGAAAATAAGAAAACACACATAAAAGCATTTAAAAGAGTACCTTGCACATAAAGGTAAAAGCGCATAAAGTGTTACTACAATTCAATCTAGACAGGTTTGTAACCTGGATAGCTGAAAATTTTAATTGGCATAACATGTTATTATTAAATACGATCCTCTTCATTATTTTCTACAATCTCAAACTCAAGACAATTACACTGCTTTCAATCTTCAGAGCTATTAACAACTCCATAATTTATAACATATTGAGGGAAGAACATTGGAGATATTATCAGAATGGTAATAAGACTAAAAGATAGTAGTTCAATTTTTAAAATTCTAGTATCTTACAAGGATACCACTCTATCATGAAATTTATCTAGGTGTCAAACTTTTTCTAATTACTATTTTGATTTACTATTTTAAAATACTTTAATTTAAATACATTTAAAAATTAAATTTAAAATACATTAAGTTTAATGCTTTGGAAACAAAATTTTCATGAAAGTTTTGTAATAATTGGCACACATGCCTTTTCTTTTTTTTTTAAGGCTTATTTTATTTTTATTGTTAAGTCAGATATACAGAGAGAAGGAGAGACAGAGAGGAAGATTTTCCTTTGATTCACTTCCCAAGCAGCTGCACCAGCCGGATCTGCACCGATCAGAAGCCAGGAACCATAAGCTTCTTTCTGGGTCTCTCACAGTTGAGGGTCCCAAAGCCTCGGGCTGTCCTCAGCTGCTTTCCCAGGCCACAGCAGGGACTGGATGGGAAGTGGAGCCGCTGGGATTAGAACCGGCGCCCATATGGGATCCCAGTGTGCAAGCCAAGGACTTGAGCCACAAGGCTGCCTTGCTGGGCCCTGCACACATGTCTTCATACAATCCCACAGCTTTGCTGTGAAACAGCAGGATAAAAGAGAGATTTAGGCCTAGGCGTATGATGAATTAGCTATGTGACCTTGGCAAGTTTGTGCTGGCAGGGGCCTCATCTGTAAAACGAGGGGGTGGCTGGGATCACCTGAGGACCAGACTGGCTCTTAGGTGATTAATCTATAATCCAGTTCAACACTAAGTTAAAGAAATAATTTTTTAAAAAGAGGCTTTTTGAAAAAAAATTTATTTTTGATATTGTTTACATAGCATACCCACAAGGACCATTGATCTGGGTGGAGATGGTCAAGGTATGGGTCAAGGTATGGGACAAACTACATGGGTCCTTGATTTTGATTTTAATAGTTCCAAAATGCTGTTGGTTTTGTTCCAGTTTTTAAAAATTATTATTTACATATCTATCCATTTATTTATTTGAGAGTGGAGCTATAGAGAGACGGGGATAAAGGGAAAGATCTTTGACCACTGTTCATTCCCTAGATGGCTGCTATTCCTGGCTCCTAATGCCTGGTTTTGGCTTGGCTCAGACCTGGCTACTGTGGCAATTTTAGGAGTGATTTGGCAGATGGTATTTCAATCTCTGTCGCCTCTTTTCTGTCTGCCTTTTATTTAAATAAGATTTATTCAAATCCATATACATGGGTATATAATTTATGATAAAGAAAATAATAAAGGTCAGGTGAGACAACCTAGTGGCTAAAGTCCTCGCCTTGCATGTGCTGGGATCCCATATGGGCGCTGATTCATATCCCGGATGCTCCAAAACAGTAGAAGATGGTCCAAAGCCTTGGGACCCTGCACCTGCCTGGGAGACTGGGAAGAAGCTCCTGGGGAGTGAACCAGAGGATGGAAAATCTTTTTCTCTGTCTCTTCTTCTTTCTATAATTCTGCCTTTCCAATAAAAATAATAAAATTTGAGAAGTATTTAATGAAATTCCATAAAAAACAGGAAGTGAGGGGTTGGAACTGTCGTGTAGTGGGTAAAGCTGCCCCCTACTTACACTAGCACCCCATATGGGTGCTGGTTGAGATACAGCTGCTGCACTTGTGATCCAGCTCCTTGCTAATGGCCAGCAAAAAGCAGCAGCACACATCCCAAGTGTTTGGGCCTCTTTTCCATGTCAAGGACTTGGAAGAAGTTCCTGGTTCCTAGCTCCTGGCTTTGGCTTGCCTAGGTCCAGTCTTTGTGGCCATCTGTGGCATGAACCAGTGGACAAAACTTGTATTTTTTTAACCAATTACTCAATCTTTAAGAAAGAAAAAAATGAGTAACCTAAGCAAACATTCAGGTATTCTGTGGTCAGACACCAGGCAAAACTCCAGGCAAAACTAATGCTTGGGGTTTGAAGAAAGGACTTGGCTATCACAGGAGAGAGTAACTCAGAAAGGAC